ATGTCTGGGTGCAGGCTGCAGATCTGGTTGATATCGACCTTATCTTCGACGTCCTTGGATGTCTGGGTACAGGCTGCAGATCTGGTTGATATCGACCTTATGTTGGACGTCCTTGGATGTCTGGGTGCAGGCTGCAGATCTGGTTGATATCGACCTTATCTTCGACGTCCTTGGATGTCTGGGTACAGGCTGCAGATCTGGTTGATATCGACCTTATCTTCGACGTCCTTGGATGTCTGGGTGCAGGCTGCAGATCTGGTTGATATCGACCTTATGTTGGACGTCCTTGGATGTCTGGGTGCAGGCTGCAGATCTGGTTGATATCGACCTTATCTTCGACGTCCTTGGATGTCTGGGTACAGGCTGCAGATATGGTAGATATCGACCTTATCTTGGCCACCCTGGATGTCTGGATGTAAGCTGCAGTTCTCGCAAATGTCCAATCTGATATCGTTTTCATCCTGGACTTCTCGGGTTGTCGAGGCTTGAGCTTTAAATCTGGCAAATGTTCCAACTCATACAGTCCCTATCTAGGACATAGTGGTGTCTTGGCCCTGGGCACGTTTCTGGTAATTTCATCGTCATTTGATCGTTCCTTGTACAACCTTGAATGTCTGGATGCCAGGGATGGAATGTGTTGTTATAAATGATCCTGCGATAACGTACAACAGTTCGAAATCGATATCATCTCGTAAACATGTTTACAGCTTGGGTTGGAAAACATGTGAGATTACTGTGGGTATATGGACAACCCCACAGTTGCCGTTGAGTGTTATGGGCATAATGGCACAGTAATACAACGGGTATTACAGGAAGAAAGTAAAAATAAATTCGTGTAATGAAAGTCATTAGAAGTGGTAAAGATTTATTTTCCAGTTTTCACAGAGTAATTATGTTTAAATTTTATCGTTTGACTTATATTGCCATTTTGCTACAAACCATAATTATGTATTCCCGACAAAATGTGATTATATCTATGATGTTATAACAAAGAGAGTAAGGGAGCCTAGACGTATTTCAAAGAATGAAAGATTAATGTTTAGGAATGATTAAATCGGAAGTAGGTACTATTTTAAAAGTGCTATGTTTGTCTACTGTGAAGAGGAAAAAACTCTCTTCACGATAGATGAATCTGATTTTTTGTAAGATAAACTAGGGTCGCTATTTTTGAAGGCCCAGTACACCTTTCCGCTGCTACTCCATCGTATTCATAATAGTTTATATGTATTTTAGAGTTTAAATAATTTTCATCGTCAGAATTTGTCCCGGTTTTAAACTGGTGTTAAGTAAATAAAAACTATTTTTTACACGATAATACAAAATTATCTTAATATTCGTAAAATAAGTTAAACTAGTGTCCCTGTTGCTCGAATTCGAGCAATTACTAAGTATTACAGGCGTTATTATTTAAAACAAATAACAGTCATAATTTCTGATGAATTTAAAAGATTCGACTCAAAGATTTTGGAAATACTCATGATGTAGGTACATAACAGATCGATATAATCCCAATTTCAATGTAAATATCTCATCATTTTTCAAAAGCTGATCTTGTTTTAGTGTTTTCTACAATAGCCTTACTCACAGCCGCATTAGGTTGTCCATAATAACGATTATAAATTCTAAAAAAAAACATTTCTTCTCCTTGGTGGAGTTCTATGACTTTCCTATGTTTCCATAGTTTGCAAATCGGCTCTTTCAATGATTACTAAAAAATGCAGCATTGTGTTAATTCAGTTTTCTTTTTAAGATATCAATTTATCCAGGCTCTATCGCTTTTTTCCATTGTAATATTTACGCCAACCCAAATTCAAATAGTAAACATTTTTTCAACCTAGCCAGTAAATGTGTGTAGCAAACTGTTACATTAGCAAACTTATTGACTGTTTATGTTCTTCTTCTCACTTTTAATTTCTGACAACAGCTGTAGTTTCATAACAATTTTTGTTTCCCATGTTAATCTTATGGAGAAATACGAAACTTTAAAGGGCCCCAGGGCCTCATTCTCTGATTATTTCCCTAAAAAGAAAGTTTCCTGCACAACTTCACGTTACGCTCTTTCCAATGAGACCAAAAACATGTCAATCGGTTCAGTAGTTTCGGAGGAGTAATTGTCACAAAAATCCTGCTTGCGTATTAAATAAGTACTAGTGTCCCTATTGCTCGAATTCGAGCAATTTCTAAGTATTAGAGGCGTTATTTTAAAAGGAATAACGTTAATAATTTCTGATGACTTTAAAGATTCGACCCAAAGATTATGGAAATATTCAAGATGTACATAACATAATATATCAATTTATCCAGGCTCTCTCGCTTTTTTCCATCGTAATATTTACGCCAACCCGAATTCAATTAGTAAATATTTCATTTCAACAAAGTCAGTAAATGTTTGTAGCAAACTGTAAAATTAGCAAACTTATTGACAGTTTAAAATTAACAATGTTCTTCTTCTCACTTTTAATTTCTGACAACAGCTGGAGTTACATAACAATTTTCGTTTCCCATGTTAATCTTATGGAGAAATACGAAACTTTAAAGGGCCCCAGGGCCTCACTCTCTGATTATTTCCCTAAAAAGAAAGTTTCCTGCACAACTTCAAGTTACGCTCTTTCCAATGACACCAAAAACATGTCAATCGGTTCAGTAGTTTCGGAGGAGTAATTGTCACAAAAAATATGCTTGCGTATTAAATAAATACGAGAGGTCGTCCAGTGGTCGAAACTCGACCAAAAATATGTAATGTACTCACTTAACTATTTTCACCCCACACTGTAAATAAAACATGTGATTGGAGTTTCCTCCATTTGTTTTGATTTTCTGTTTATATTTCGTTGTTATTTCGTAACCAGCATAGCAACGCATAAGATCCATGTTAATTTTTTACAACTTTTAAACTTATTTTTTGTGCTTATCTTTGAGCCTATTTAAATTTATAAAGGGATTCTGCACACCTACAGGAAAATAGCTTTCCAACGGTATGCGTAGATTTTCCCTACGATGCACACGAGCTGAGAAAAAAGGTTTTAAAGAAACATGCTTGCCTATTAATATATAGATAGATAGAATAGACTAGCTGTGTACCCGTTCTACGCACGGGGATCTTATAATATTCAGTTGAAACCTTCTTATATAAAGAACAGCAGTTGGTTTGCATATTTTAAGATATGCTGGCCAAACTATTATACATAGCTTCATTTTATGTTGTTTTTTGTTGTTCCGGATCGGTATGACAATCAATAAAAGGTTAAATTACCTCTGTGTCTGCCGGTCGATCCTATAACGGTAGGCTTACTTTTATTTTTACTATCTGATCTCGTTTGCATGGCTCAATCACGTCCTGGTTGAAGTTTGTTCGCTACGCTCACTCACCTGTATGTTGGAGCTCGTTCGCTGCGCTCACTTTCCTTCAGGTTAGCTCGTTCGCTACGCTCACTTGCCTTCAGGTTAGCTCGTTCGCTACGCTCACTCGCCTCCAGGTTGCAAATTAGCTGTTGTCATAAATGTAAAAGAAATAATAGTGCTAGTGCTGCACCCTGTTGGTAATCCTTGTAACTTTAATGCTATTGAACATCACAGAACAGAACCAACTTGTTTAATTGAAACAGCTGTTAAGATTCAATAATTTCATTTCTCATAAGGTTAACATGGGCTTCCAGAAATTCCACGTCAAAAATCGACAAAAACTTGATTTTCAAGGGTTTACTGTTAAATATCTAACTGTCTCATATTCGATGAAATACGTCTAAAACCATCTCATATATGTATAGTATTTGGAAAATAAGTTTCAGGCGGGACAGTGCTATAGTTATTGAGGAGTAGTTGTAATAAAGTGCGTATTTTAGCGTTACCAAGAGAATGACAGATAGACAGACAGACAGACAGACAGACAGACAGAAATTGAGATAAGGTTTGATTCGGTTTCTCTGACCTATGAAATGTAAAAATAACCAAAAAGTTCATTATTCTAAGCAATGTACAGACAAAACTCTAATTTTATTTATATAGATAGATGTATCTGTATAAACTTACGCGAAGTTTTAAGAACCAGTATTCATTAAACTTCAGTGTTTCATAGTTGTAACCTGAATGTTTATTTGTAAAGGGGGATTTACTTTTCACGCTATTAGATTTTGTCTTTTCTCCGGTAGAAATTGTGTGTTGTACCTACTCATCTTGGGCGAAGGCTAAGCTACAATCAAAGATAATCCTCAGGATGGTTTTATAGAAGCAGAAGCAGCCATGTGCTAATGTGCTAGCTAATCCTCAGACAAGCCAAAGTTGAAATGTATTATTTAAATCCTATCGCTACAGGATCCTCTTAGGTTGAGATGTGAAGAAAGATTGATTGTCAGAGCACTTGTCCGTGGTAGGACAAGACACATTTCGTCCTATAATTAAGTATGGAGAAAACACTTGGATAATAAGACCAAAAACTAACTGAACACGTTATATATTACTCCCTGCGTTTATAATTTATGAGTCTTGGGAAGTTGTCAAACCCAGAGGAGATGATTGCAAATTTATTTTCGTGGATAGTGGTTTGAAACTGGACCAAACAGTTTTTCATCAACTTTACAAGTGATTCTGACCATGAATTTACTACTGACCCTTTACCAAGGGCCATTCTATAAAGGTGTTTCCATTAACCAGCACTGCAAATGCAATGAATTGTTCCTTATCATAAAGTGTGAACATTACATTGCCCACTCCTTCAAATCTAAAATCTCATTCTTAGGTAAGAAGTGTGAGCGTTTTTGGCGTCAGTAAAACCCCGTCGAAAATGAAACTTAATCCATTAGATAGTATTTTCACGCCATTTATTCTACGCTCGTCCGTCAGCCCTCTTCGCCAAACTATGCATCATAGAGCTTCGGTAACGTAGCGCCATTTTCTTTTAACTCAGAGCATTGCTGTTCACATTGCATGTAGTGTACGGTACTGTATATACAAGTTCTACTCTGCCCACTCTGCCATATACTGACGTACCCGTTTGTCTGCAGGTCCGGTGACGGTGCCCATGGTGTCCACCAACTCCTCGCCGCCCATCGCCATGCCCGTGCAGGTGCCCCATGGGCATGTCGTTCAGCAGATTGTCGACGAGAGCGGCACACTGCGACACGTCATATTGTCACCACAGCATCCACCCATCGTCCCCATGCCCACGCACTTTGTAAGTAAAGTATTCCATCTTATGTTAAGTACCTGTGTGAAGGTCCTTGACGTTAGGTTTCCTAAAAGGTTATGATCATTGGAGATGTAGTAAAATGGGTTTATTAGACGTAGTATGGACTGACGATGCCTGTTGTACACTGTTTTATGGCTAATGCACGTATTTCATTTGAAATGAAATGAATGAAACTATCAGGGCACTATGCAGTAAGGAGTTAAGGAATAGGTACTTTATTAGTACAGTAGTGTATAATACTGTTTTATAAGGAATATTAGAGTAGGTCTATATTTTTTGGAAGGATTATTGTTGGTCTTAAGTTTAGGATAATCATATAGACCTTGTGAGCTTTTGCAATACAGTGTTACTTGTCACGTAAAACCTTTGACTTTAGTATCCAATAGTCAATGGTTAAACCTGTTAAACAAAAAAATGTACCCGGTGCAATACTACATATGGCTAAAACTCGTGTAGAGAACATTTTTACCTTACTTTCAATAACTTCACGGACATCACCAAAATTTTCAAAATCAGTTGAAAAATAAAACATTTCATTTGAGTAAGCCATAAAACACTGCATTAGCGTATTTGGCCAAACAGGTGGTAAATTACTATTAACTAGCACTACCTAGTAGTATCAAAATGTACAAGTCAAGTCAAATGACATTTTCCATTTAACCAGAGTTCGGAATCTGTGAAATGATCACTTATATATAGATGCTCCTATGTTCTTTTAAAACAAAACCTAGTCGCAGACTCTCTTAATAAAACAAAACCTAGTCACAAACTCTCTTAGTAAAACAAAACCTAGTCACAGACTCTCCTTCAAACCTCGCCTGTTTTTACTCTTTGCACCTGGTTGTATCTGTGGCGGATGCGCGCAGTAGTGCAGGAGACTTCCGGTTGTTATCGCGAGATAGCTCTTATCAGTAGAAAAGCATTCTTCGGAGTCTGGCCGAGTTCTTATCACTGAAGACGCACCCCTGCGCCGTTCACAGAAGTCGCGTTGGGAATTGATAATGTTCTGGACGGCTACAACGGTTGAACGGTTTCCTTCGGAACTTTTACCACTGCGTCTTCAGCTGATCATGATGATAGGAAGTGTGTTTTGCTCTTTTGCTGCCACTTGCCACAGAATCCAGTAGGACGGAACCTTATCATTGACGTCCTGCGCTGATCCTGCATGATGATAAATAAGGAGTATTTGCGCTCAACGTTTACTATGTTTTCCACTTAAATTTATGGCACATATTTTGAAAATAATTTGTCGAGCCAACCCTGTTCATTCCAGAAAAGCTGTCAAAATGGCAATGGTTAGAAATTTACTTTTTGCTAGCATGATTTATAATTATGATATCTATTTTAGAATATTTTTTCCAAAGTGATACCGTGTCTTTATGATTGAGACACTTTTCATGAATATTAAAACTAAATATAAACTCTTATTTAATCAACGTCTAATTCTAAATTAGACAGAAGCATGTATGGATATAAAATTGCTTCATTGAATACATGGGATGCAATCCACAATAATTGCTTAGTACTCAACAACACAACAGTACTTACAGTAAACTTTGGTAATGAACCAAGGGCCGATTTAAGAACCAATTGTAAGTATTGAATGGAAAGTGCACGATTGTTTTTGAATATTTTAAATTACTGTGTATTATTATGTTTAAAAATATTACGGATAGCTTGATACAACATTCGTGCGTTTTCCATCCAATACTAAAAATTGGTTCGATAAAAGCATAATGAATAATTATATCCACATTATATAAACTATACAAGTTATTGTAAGTTTTTATACATATACATTTTTTTAACTTTTCATTTACCACAAGCTTTTCCTATTTAAACTTGAATAAACCAAAGATAATCTGTAGGCTAATATATTAATTCGTGTTCAATCTCCAACAATGTCCCGTATCGTCGTAATTAACAACTGTTGAGAAAATGTCACCAAGATCGATCCCATATCACTTTGATATCGATAAAAGTTCACATTAATTTTAATGTTGTAGAAGAGCGGACTGTGTTATTGTTGATAAGGACAGCAGTAGCGCTAGATTAGAGCGGTGGCGAGTATCGGAACTAGTCGCGTCACGTCAGCTGTTTGTATTGCATTGTTGTGGTGCTGTTTTGTTGAAAGTTTCCCACGAATTTAATTGTTAGGACGATATGGTGGACGATAAAAAGGAAGAGGTAAGGATTTCAAACCTCATGGTATCACTGGGCATTATTTTTCATAGATTGTCTGTATGAAAGTCATTCGACACAGAAACTTAGCCTCAATACTTGTTTTCGTTTCAGCGATATATTTTAGTTATAGGTATTTTGAAACGTGGCCGATATATTACACTAGAATGTCAAGTTGATGGTTTTATCTAGATTCTGGAAGTTTGCCGTGGTTGGTGATCGTAGTTAGTATAGATTGTAGCCGCTTCGTGTCATACCGTATAGTCTACCTACGTGGCAATATAATACAACACAACCAGTCAACCACTCGCCGTTCACGACGTGATGTGACAAGCGATATATCGCATCGCAATATCGCAACTCGTTAGTACAGCATACGATGTGATTGTTGACCTCTCATCTCAGCTCACGTCATGTATGAGAATGAGATGTTTGTATACTGACTTGCGATATATATCTCATCGAAGTTTTGCAGTACGATAGCTGTCACTTGTCTTGCCGTGGTGATGTGGTTTACCAACATCACAAATAACATACATAAATAGTGGATTAAACGATGAGTTGTCTAACATCTTTAAAAGATGTTCAAGTTTGTTTGTTTGAAATCTAGTTTTCAATGATTTTTCCTGGGAGTGATCCTAACCTAACCTGAAATTTATTTTAAAATCTTATTTTGGATCCGCCTTGATTGCTTTCCGTCGACTGTTAATAGCTAAAAGAAAAAAAAAATTGACATTTCCTATTTTGATCTGTTTGGATTTTATGTATTGCGTCTACTGTCCTATTATTCAGTTAGATCCTTTAGAAGATGCTTACTCCAAATTTGATAACAATGTGTTTCTGGCAATAAGATGAAAAATTTAACTGTAGACTTTGAGCCATTGAGCATGGAAGTATACTTTCTTCTATAATTTGTGAGTTTAAATTGGCATCCAACTTTAGTTACAAGTCAGCAATGAAGACTCTGCAACCAAACGTTTTATTTGTACTTTGTACTTTATATCAGTTTCTGATTTGATTTTGTATGTGTATGTACAATATTGACTTTTTAATAACTTTCCTTCCACTAAAACTTATTTTTTGTATCAGTTTGGATAGGAAGGTAATGTAAATCATATGGGTCTAATTGCATCTTATTTGTTTAGACAGCTGATCAACATTGTTTTGTGTTCAGTTTTTTGTCATAGTTTATCTTCAAGATTTTTTACTTAATTGCGATTGAAATAGATAAAAACACAACCAAAGTTTCTAATAGATACATAATTTGTTGTAATGAATCGTTATCAAGACGTGCTATGTGTGTACAGTTTTAGTTTTTTTTTTTAGCTTAGTGCAATAATTAATTTTGAAACAAACAGGACAGTATCAACCTAACCTAGGCGTTTTAACACTCGTTTTATTTAGTGTAGACCTGAATACAAAAAATTGTAAACTTTTTTAACTAGGAACTCTTTTTTTATCCTAATTAAAAAGAATATATGAGCTGTGCAACTAAAAGAAATAGGGTAGGTAAATAAAAAAAAGTAAGATGTAGGCTATATTGTCACTTTATTTATAAACATCTATATTACCTACCGGAATATTACTACAATATTATGTTATGGATGAAATTGTACTTCCAAATATTTATATGTATTGTTGTTTCTGAATTTGTGTAAATACTATAATTATTTTAATTTTATCTGTACAGATAATACTTTTTTTATTTGACATCTTAAACCACTTTTGTTGGTTTGTATCTCATAACCGTGTGTTTGCAGGGGCCTGGACCTGCGACTGGGTCTAACCAGCCTCCGCAGCCTTTCTTCACTGCGCAAGGAATACCTCCCGGTTACCCTCCCTACGGGCCGCTACAGCCAGGCATGCTCGGACCTTTACCTCCTCAGCAGGGTGAGTTTTTGTTTACGTTTCATTGTAATCAAAAGTATTTATCCTAAGAGAAAATCTGAGAAAAAAAAGTTTAAGACATCTTATCTCAATTGGCCCCGACAGTCCAAGTGTCTGTCGATTCAGAGCTGGTTAAGAGAGGGTACTGTAATAGAGTCAACCTACGAGAATGAGTTATGTTACTCCTGGTCTAGTATTTTACAAGAGGGAAGAAACTGCTACAACAAACACAATCATTTGAAGTTGAGTCCTTTTTGCCTAGAGGACAAATTGCTGTGATGTCAAATGTCTCATAAAGACTTTGATAATGCAGCCTATTCTGGCTAAAAACTTTACTTGTATGTTACTGGTACTGATACTAATTTTGTTATATAAAAAAACTGAACTTATAAAATTTAGTTTGCCCCAGCTTCCAGACTTTAGATAATTCTTAGACAAATTCGACCAGATGTATTGCTCGAGTGAATCATACCGTACTACAGTAGAACCTCTTTAATCCCAACCCCCGTAACCCGAATGTCTACAAATCCGAACGCCTCATTGCTGTACACTATTTACAGTATGCTACAATAGTTCTTTATTGTTACTGTATTTATTTATGTATGCACCCTAATTGAACACTGTGTATTTGACTTTAGGCCTATATAGCATTTTTTCACTTTTCCTGTAACAATTACGATCCATTTTAGCCAGGTTTTAGCTATTGTTACCGTATGTAAAAACATCAATATGTTCTAATATGTTTCTGTAATCCAAACTATTTAATAGTTCAAACTACTCCCGGTCCCAATTAGTTTGGATGAAAGAGGTTCTACTTTATTTTTAAAACTATCCAGCTTTCATTTATAAATTTTGTGTTTTTCCTCAGGTCATTCCCCACCTCCGAATTTCCATAAAGATGAGAGGACACAGCGGCAATATATTAAGCTAAAGAAAAAATTAGAACAGAAACAATTAGGAATGCAATTAGGTGACCAAAGGACTCCTCCAGTATCACCAAGAAAAGGTAAATAATGTGATCAGTTTAATTTAACATTCTATAGTTGGGAAAAGAAATCTTTTACTTGGATAAAATGTACTTGAGGATAAAAAGATTTTTCCAAATATTTGCTAGCTACCTTTACCTTTTTTTTTTGCTAGAAATGTCATTTGTGAAATCTGTTATGCTTTGACAAATACATAAAATATTCATTGTAAACATTAAATTTAGTTAATGGCTACAGCCTACGTTGTACAGAACATTTGAAATGTTCTTTTTATTTTTTTACTGGCTCAGACCACTTTTTATCTCAATGAGCTGTAAACTATAACTTTTCTGTAAAATTATTTTTCCACTATGCACTACAGAGTAATAGATTCGGACTGACTGACAAAAAAACAACAAAAACCTATTACTCGTATGTATTATGATAACGTTTTGTTCCTGTGAATGTTGCATCTATAGTGGAATAGAATACAGAATAGGACCGAAACCAGTTCGAGTCGGGTAGGGCGGGGCATGCGGCATCCAATCAGCTTTTAGAAAACTGTCCACTGTTGCCAAGTTGTGCCACGCACTCAGTCTCTGCCCGATAGCCAACCTGTGCGTTTTTAGTATACCCTCCTGTTTTGTCAAGAATTCGTCTATGAACTGTGTTTTGCCCAATGAATACGGACAACAGTACGTGACGTGGACGACCACGAGTACACGTGAAACGTTTGCGATATCGTAACGTCGGACGTGGTGTTCCTTTACGTAATGCAAATATCTTGATAGGCCTATATAAAAATGTCATTGTCCCTTAAAAATTTTATTTAAGTTTCATACGTCAATATTTTCTTTTGTAAATATTTTTATGTAACAATTTCCAGTGCAATGTAATAATATTTTCTAATAAAAATAGTTATGTCATTTTGGAAATAAATTGGCAGTTATGTTATCTATTTCCCTTTTTACCTGGTATGTTTTTTGAGGATTTCTAGAGTACCTACATTAGAAGTTTTTTTTTGTTATAGAAGAGTGAATATATCGTATGACTATTTTAATGAATGCAACACATAACGTAATGTATGTAAACGTTAGTTCAATTTTCTTAAATTCAATATAAAACTAACGGACTTTTTTGTCAAATCACAATATTACAGAAATGTCTTCGTCACTATTGAGCTACCTGTTCTCCGTAAGTTTAAGTTCAGTCGAGTGGCAATAATAAGATTAACGGAGTGAGGGTCACAATAGGTGTTCAAAGAAATGCAGCTTTGGGGTAATTCCTAAACATTGACCAACTTCGTTTCCTAAACACAACCAAACTATTGCTGTAAATGTTTAATATGGAAGATTTTACCTTCTTCATTTCCATGTTAATTTGTTTTATGTATCAAACTATAAGCAGGGCAAAAATTTACAAGATTTTTAGAACTGCTATAACATTTTTTGGACCATATGTATTCATTTGCTCATATTGTTACGGTGATTTGTTTAAACATTGAGGTTGACAAACGTGTTTGACTATAGGCAACATATTTCCAGAGACTTGTAAAGGTGACCCTATATAAAATGTATTTTCATTTTATATTTATTAATTTTATGTTAATATATTTTTCAAAAACTAAATCTAGTAGCGGTTTAAGTCATTAATTGTGCAAATAATCTATCCATAATCATGTAAGGGATGAATGTATCTTCCATGTGATATAAACATGACAACACTAACCGATACCGCCAAAAAAATAATAATTTGTAGTGTTAAACTACCCTACAAGTGGGAAGACAGAGTCAGAGGGATGCCCGCGTCCGGTCCCCGTCTCTAGGCGAAAGTCAGCTCACCAGCCAAGAACGAAGTGGCAACGTCGCATCCCCTACCTCCTCAGAGGCCAGTCCTATTCTGTATTCTATTCCACTATAGTAATCAACATTACTCGTATGTAATATGATAACGTTTTGTTCCTGTGCATGATGCATCTAGTAATCAACATTACTGGTATGTATTATGATAATGTTTTGTTCCTGTGAATGTTGCATCTAGTAATCAACATTACTCGTATGTATTATGATAACGTTTTGTTCCTGTGAATGTTGCATCTAGTAATCAACATTACTCGTATGTATTATGATTACGTTTTGTTCCTGTGAATGTTGCATCTAGTAATCAACATTACTCGTATGTATTATGATAACGTTTTGTTCCTGTGCATGTTGCATCTGGTAATCAAAACTTCACTCTGCCGTTTGTTTGCAGAATACTTAAACGGTATCCGGGTGGGGGGCAAGAAGGGAGGAATGAGCAGCGTGGGGACGTCGGAGGATGGAGAGGAGAGCAGCAGTGTGCAAGATGAAGACGAAGAGATGGCTCTCATATCAGACCTGCTGTCTACTATCAAGGCTCCTCAGGTCGGTAACATGTTTGTTTTACTGTTTTTTCCAGCAGTATTTTTTAAAAATAAAAATCCATACCTTTTTGAGAAAGCGGTCTAAATCCCTCAAATTGTAGTGGATTGGCCAGGAATCTAACCTTTCTCTCTCACACTTAAGTCTGAATACGCTAGCAACATAAATAAAAATATCGCCAGCATCTCCTGACCATGTTTTTGTGACTTATCTTGATGCAGGAGTGAGTTCCAAAATAACTCGCTGTTAAATATGTCAGCTCATTTACGTGTAATTATGATAAAATTGTGTCTATAACTTCTTAAAGGGAAAATATCCAACTCATTTGTAACCTTGATAATGAAAGTGTTAAATAAAATAATCACTTAGCTAAGAACAATTACTGTTGAATTAAAAATCATTACACACACCTAACTGTGACTAGTCTACTAATAAAATATAAGAAAAAAAACATTGTTGTTATTATATTATTTTTATCAGTGTGTATTGGGGACGGGGTATATTATTCAGTGATTTAATTTTCAACTAAACAAATAGTGTCATACTAAAGCAGAGAAGAAAATTAATTTTCACCTAAAATATTAATAATTGTAAACCTTCTTCTGGGCCTCAAATATTTCCTACAGCTCTCCTTCCAACTGAAATACTGTTTAAGTGGTGTATTGAGGAAATTAAAGTTATAAATGTTGTAGCAACTTCAAATTGCAGTTCAATAGAGTGCTAACTGCTAACCACACAAACACATGACCTCAGTCTACTTTAGCCAGTCCATTGTGTTTGCCTACCCCCTGATTGTACCAAATTATCATTTTTTTCAGGATTTTTGTTTGTGGTTACGACTAATAAAGAGTTTCCTGCAAAGTTTTTCTTTTAGATTTTCCAGCTTTGGTTGGATTTGTGTATTTTTATCTTATGATACCTTTTCGCCTGAGGAAGGAATCAGATTCGCTATCCTGAAATGTAATCAAACTTTGTAGTTTGCTTATTTTGATGAAGAATGTATGCAATAATCCCCTAAATAAGACATGTATGGGTCGATTGCAGGTGACGGAGCTGAGTTGCCGTAGTGCTCTGCTACAGTGGCGGCCGCCTGACTGTAAATCTACACCTGAGCTAGAAGTGACAGAGGACAGTGTTAGTTACGAGGTGCTGCTGAGTGACAAGGGGAAGGAGGGGAAGTACAAGAGCATTTACAGCGGCCCTGCACTCTCCTGCAGGTATGTACTGGTTTTTTCTACATCAGACAGATGTTAGTTAACTAAGCCATCTAACGCAGTGATAGTTGTACTCAGGGCCGTACCTAGGGTTGGCGGCGCCCGGAGCAAACATGGTTGTGGCGACCCCTCTCCCCACCAGTAATATTTGCATTTGCATATTTTTAATACTATGTTAATACAAATAGCCGCGGCGTGGCGCCCCCTTGGCTGCTGCGCCCGGGGCAGCGGTTGTCTTATCAATATTGGCTTATCAATATTACCGGACAAATATTCCTACTCCACTTTTTGACATGTCCATATGCATGTATAACTGGAATAAAAACTTGTATTCTTATTCTTTATTGTTGACATTGCAGGATCCAGGACCTCAAGCCTGGTGTGGAGTATAGCGTTTGTGTGACGGGATGGCTAGAAGGGGTGGCAGGTAGTGCCAGTGAGCCTAGCCTATTCCGCACTCCCGCGTGTGAACCTGACACTCCGGCCGTACCTAAGCTGATCAGTCGTAACCGCACTGCGTTGCAGTTACGTTGGGCCGCTGCTGCCGACAACGGCGCTCCAATAACCCACTACGTTCTGGAGAGCTGGCAGGTGTGTGATTTTACATTTCAGTTAACTTCATGTGTATTCACTTCAAATGTTTATAGGTTTTATACGTGTAAAGATTGCTCTTCCATAGGTACCACATAATAATAAAATACCCCTGTTACAGCAAACCTGCAGACTAAGCAAATTTCTATTTGCCTGAATTGACTCCATAAGAATAACATGGGAATTTTAAATTTGCAATTTTTTAATTTTTCTCGAACCAATAACCGTACAAAAACACTTTGGTATACTACGTTATTTGTTTTTTTAAGCTCTTTAAAATGGTCTAGAGAGAAGTTGGGATTTTTTTTTGAAGGTCAATAATGAGAAAAACAAATTTTTACTCCATAAAAACCCCCGTAAAACCTGTTCCCATGGTCCGATCATGCTGGCTCGGGAACTCATTCAAGTTTATCCTGTCTTACACCTTCAAACCAAATTTCATCAAAATCTGACAAAAATTCCTCAAGCTATCTCGTTCATGAACGTATATATATAAATTTTAACGAATAGTGTTTGGTCTCTAGGGACATCAAAATGAAAAAGTATGTCGGCTCCAGGTCTTACCGTACCACCTACAGTAATAGCTACTTCCCTATAGGGAAATTCGCTAAGAGAATTGTAGTTGGTATTCGGTGCCAGGTTATTTTTTTATCTTTAAATAGTAATCTCCAACATACTATGATATAAATCAATTATAAAGATAGAGGCATAGCATGGATACTGCAAATTTAGATTCTACATAGTTATTATGAACAGAACTAAAAAAAGTGCGTAAACAAAGAAGATAGAAAAGGTCCGTAAACCTTTGGGGGTATAGTTTACTTGCTAAAGCTATATATGATTTTTTTTTTTATAATTTTAACATCCATCCTACCTTAGTTATTTATCATTTAATTTTTTTATTCACCTTACAGGAAACAAGCAACTCTTGGACGGAGGTATACCGAGGCAAGGGTAAACAGAGTAATCTGTCCAAGCTGCAGCCAGCCAGCACCTATACCTTTCGTCTGTCTGCCGTCAACGAGTGTGGACAGAGGTACGGTTAGGTTAGGATAATTGGATTGTTGTAAAAAGTAAATCCTACTCTTACTTCAACAACCATTTGAATTGAAGAAAGTAAATATACTCCTACATTTCTTCCTATTCTCTGTGTTTTCTTCATCGTATCTCGCCACTTTCAAGGCCTCGGTTACAACTTTTTCTATCTCTTCTTCGGGGGTCCAAAGGGTTTTCTTTCAACTGGAATTCTTTTTCATATTTATTTTATCAACGCTTCAATTCCCCTCCTTATGTATAGTGACGTCTATTGCTCCAAATCGCCAGATGTGTCTATTGCTTGAAACACACACCTTGGTTTCCTTATTAAGCTTGTTGATTACTTAATAATTTCACCCCTTATCACATGTCTAGTCCATTACAGACATCTAGTCTGGTGCTTGAATAGGCTGCCTAGTTTTCTATTATACTTAATTATCCATGTACAATTTTTCACTGATCAATTAAACTGAGGTCTAACCTTACATGTTTAATTTACCCATTGACTGTCCACAGTGAGTGGTCGGACGAGGTTTTGTTTTGCACAAGTGACAGTCCGCCCCCGGTCCCCTCTGCCCCTGTACTGCGTGAGGCTGGAGTCAACTTCCTCAGCCTCGGATGGGAGAGACGCCCTGTAGATGAGGAGTTCACTCTCCAGATGGACGATCGGGACACGGGTCACGGTTTTCTACCTGTCTACAACGGAAAGGAGCTCGGCCACGTCTGTACGGATCTGCGCCGCCACACCAACTACAAGTTTAGAGTAAGGAATCTTTTTGAAAAGGGATAAAGCTAAGCTAGGTTATTTAAAAAAGTTTGAGTCTAGGAGATAAATAAACAATAAAGTCACAAAACATTTCACTTAAATTTAGTTTTGATGAAGTCAGATTTTGCGTTATAATCTGATTTAATGTGGGTGTGTCTAGTCTGGAATTACCTTTATTAATTAATGGGGTTTTTGTTATTAGAAGCCCAAAATGTTGTGATGTATATAGTAATTTTGTTGTTTACGATGGAAGGCAAATTAACTAGAAGCTTTTTTTGCATTACAATTGTAAACTATCCAATAACTATGAGTTCATATAAAACATTAGTCAATTATCTGGGTCGGCAGACATTTTCACTTATTTCCGGATTAGTGAGATCATAATACTGACTTATTATACATTTAAATGACAAAGTAATAATATGATTTATTTTGAGTGTTAAAGGTGGCCACTTATGTTCTAGCTGAGAGCTCAGAACGAGGAGGGTTCGTCGCAGTGGAGTGAGGAGGTTAGCTACCGAACACTGCCCGGTCGACCGGCGCCCCCCACCCGGCCCTACGTCAAGGGTAGAGTTCACGCTCACTCCTTCAAGGTGAAGTGGGAACCTCCTAATGACAGAGGAGGGACAGATATCACCTCATACTCTGTACAGCTCAAGAAAAACGGAGGTTTGTCATACAGAGCAATTATTAACCATTTAAAGTGTTTTGACAAACATAGTACTTAATATTTTCTGCATGACATCTGTGGCCCTAACCCTCTGGCACTTATATCATTGTTTGAATCTCACCTGTAAGCGCTGATGTAACATTGAGGCTTTAGAGGCACTCTTCTTATCCAGCCGATGGTGACATATATGGGGGCTGAATCGACTAATGTGTTGCACTGATGAGTGTAGCTCTGAGTTTGTTCTACTTTCTCAGGTTCCTTTGAAATCTGTATCAGGTTACTAAAGTGTGGCTTAGCCAGTGGAAGGGCCGACTTTAAATAAATAAATGAGGCTTGGGCGAAGTCTAGTATTAGTAAGTTTAATAGGGATGCACGCAAGGTTTTTCATTTTTGGCTTTTAATTTGATTAAATATGGACATTAGTGTTGAAAGACATACAAATTACCTAACCTACAAAAAGTCAAGACATTGATAAAAGATTCATAAAACATTCCCTCCAGAAAAGATTATTTTGTTTTGACTTATAACAATGTGTTGTTTCAGAGTTTGTGGCGGTGTACGCGGGGCCGGACACGGAGTGTGTGGTGGACAGGCTCAGTCCCGGCACTGCGTACGAGGTGAGAGTCTGCTGTGAGAGCGCTGGTGGCACCAGCGACTACTCGGACTCTCTGGTCGTAGCCACTGAAGCGACATGCCCCGGCCAGTGTGCACCACCTCGTCTCCACGGCAAACCCAGGCCCTACAGCGTCTCACTCAAGTGGAGTAAGTTTTTTTTAATTATTTTTAACTTTTTATGTTTACGCCATTGGGATTTCTGATGTTTTTTTTTATTTACTAGAGAAACGATCCAAAGCTATCTAATTTAAATTTGGTAACATCATGAATGGATCCTAAATATCATAAATAAATTTAAGAGTAATTTTTATGTCAACGCTTATAGTAATTTAAAATAACTGTTTGATTCAACATTTTTTGTGACAAATTAATATTTTTTATATTTCTGAAAAAAAAAAAAAAATACCTAAACTGTTTGTATTACAGTATTTCAAAGCAGACCCTTTTGTAGAAATAGTTCCAATTATTAGAAGTAGCTTTTCAGTTTGGTAAAAAATTAGCCTTAAAAGTTATTTGATTGAAGTTCTATTATTTGTCAACATGTATTGTTATACATGTTCTAGATCGTTTGCCTATTTTCTAATTATCAATTCTTGTATCATTTTACAATACAACAAATTTATATTAACAGCTTTAACTATCATTTTAATATATTTTAATAAGTGGTCTTGGCCAGTAGCAATGTAACACAAAACATGTTACTTCATTTACACTCATATGTCCAGTAGCATCCCCATCTTAATTGATGATGATAATAATTTCAAACAATTTGTAGACTACCCTGAGGTGGACGGAGGTGCGCCAGTTAGTGAGTGTGAGATCATGGTCCGAACACCCAACGTAGAGGACAGAATAGCTTACAGAGGCAAGGACACTGAGTGTACCGTCACCTCACTGAGTCCTGGACATTCCTACGCCTTCCTGCTACGTGCCAACAATAGAGTGGGCGTAAGTTCAATCATACAACTAAAACAATAAATTTATCTCATACAGTAGATCCTAGAACCTCAACAAAAACACTTTAATTGAAATTACAATTAATTTACCATCAATTTACAAAACAGCATAAGAGAACACTGCAAAAATAACGCAATGCATCCCAGAGGAAGAAAGTGAAATGACCCAACGAAGGTACACACTCATAAAATAAGACATTAGAGATTGTGTAGAGTCTGAGTATTAACTACTATTTATAATTAATCGCTCACTTACATTATTCTTGTGCACTGAAAAGGAAGATGTAATGTAATTCTTCACCAAGTGGAGATGCATACGGTGAATTGCGGTTAACTGCTAAACCACGCAAAACTAAAATCAAATCAAATCCTTTACTGTCATTATGCATCTTTAAAAACAGACTCAGGCAATGCTCTTGACTCAGAATTTAATGCATTGAACAACTTTAAACTCATGATGGAATAGCTATAGCACAAATATATTTAAATATACAAGTATACTGGCATTTTAATTAGTCTATGGGACGGAATTTAAAGTAAAGAGTTGGTTATAGTGTAATGAGAATGAAAATATTTTCAAACAGCCAAGTCTCCTCTAGTTTTAGTTTAATATCAATTAGAGTTATAATAACAAAAGTGATGAGAGGAGAAAACAAGCAATGAAGGTTAGAAACCCGTTTACAGTAACTGCAGTATTTCCAAAAAATGCGTGTGTGTATTAGGACTTAGTGTTCATTAGAAATTATAGAAAACCCCTAAACGTGCACTTCAGTTACATTATTGCCTTTTTTTTATCATTTTAAATTTTGAAAAACATATATTTTAACCAAAATGTTGGTAATTTAAATTACGGACCCCTTTTATTGAGGTTCTACCACAGTAGTTTTGATTCTCTTCTCAATTATCTGACCAACTGTTGATGTGTTGCAGGCAGGGGCTTGGTCGGAGCCTCTGGAGGTGTGTAGTGGCAATGCCCCACCTGATGCCCCCGGAGCACCAACGTGTGTGGCTCGCTCCGGTGGTGTGGTGGCCTGCTCGTGGGACGAGCCTCGTGCCAACGGTGCGCCTATCACCGACTACCGCCTGGAGATGGGTCACGGCGCCACACCCACCTTCACTCCCGTCTACAACGGCACACACACTACCTGTGATGTTAGGAACATTCCCCCAGCCTCCCTCTGCCTGTTCAGGCTTCAGGTAAACAGATTGAATTCGCTACATTTTTACTTTCTCCCCTTACACTTTGGTATATGGCCATTCAAGATTCTTGTCATTTTATTTACTTTCCGTAAATTTAATAACACGTACAATGCTGATCAAGAAGTTATTTATAAATTATGATCAAAATTATGATGTCAGGCTTTGGACATTCTTGTAACAAAAATCTAAAATGGCATTGGCGTTGAAAATACACAAATTAAATTAAATTTCTAGCGAGTTTTGATGGGAAACATAATCATTCAACATTGTAAGAACAATATTAAAGTAGCCATTAATGATAATTATGACAAGCTCATATAAATGCACAACCATGAAGAAATAGTTTGAAAGAATAAGACAAGAATTTAGTAAGATCGTACATTGTTTATCAAGCATGTTAAAAAACCTGAGTCCTGTTTGTAAACAACTGTTGCACAAGAGGTCATTGGGTTGCTGAAGGGCTTAATCAATCGATGTTATGCAGGCCTGCAACATGGCAGGGTGGAGTGAGTTCTCCCCTCTGACCACCCTGGTGTCCCCGCCTGGAGTGCCAGGTGCCCCCGCAGCTCCCCGCTACACAGCAACGCCTCACAGTCTTAATCTCAGCTGGAGCGCCCCGCCTGACCACGGTGCCCCAGTCACCCACTACCTCGTAGAGGTGGCCGATCGTACTGTAGAGACTGAGGAACTGTCCTGCACTGTCGATGGACTGGCACCAGCCACCACGTATAAGTAAGTACAAGCAAATGCTCAGTGACTAAAATTTTAAAATACACAACAACTTACTGGCCTACAAAAAAACTTGAGTTGGTTGCAGTGAGTTCTACCTTTAACTATCAATAGAACTAAACTTTGATTCTCCATGTTAAGGTGTGAGTAAAATTATATTGAACACAATTTTTTTCCTAACTACTTTATGCAGCAGTTGGTGTTGTACATAATCAGAGATGGAGAAATGTGATAGTTATTGATATGAATACTGTGATGATTGTCATTCATTACAGTTATCCAATGTCTGTGGTTTATCGGTTTTAACAGTTCCACTTCAACGTCATTCATTAACAAGGGTGATTTGAGAAATCCACAGCACCCAAGTATGTACCTAATATAATTCACACTAATGGTATATTTGCATTTCATTGAATCTCAACACAGCTTTATCGAAGTTTCTTTTTTTTTATATTCTACTACCGTACTTTATCACAACCAGTGTAAACAACAAAAATTATAAAAAATGTTATTTGTAAATTTTATTGTAATTATTTGTCCCAGGGTGAAATTGAAAGCAGTCAACAGTATAGGGCCAGGACCGTCGTCTGCTGCCCTCAAGGCCAACACGCTGCCACTGCCTCCCTCCCCTCCCCCCCTGTCATGCCCTGCCGCGGGCCACAACTATCTCAAGCTCAAGTGGGGCGATGGCAAGAACCCCCAGTTTACGCAGTACACTGTCCAAATGGAGAACCCTAGATTGGCTGAGTAAGTGTCTACTAAAATTGAATACCGAGAATTCAACAAAAATCCTCTCGAGACTAGACCTAGGTCAGACAACCTAAAACTATAGTTAAATCATTAAACTATGTAAATATGTAAAACACTGCTGAAATAAATATAGCCTACTATTATTATAATTGGAATGAAAAGCAAAGCTGTATACAGTAGACTCCCTCTAGTTCGGCTTCGGTTGGATCGGCCGCCGGATGGTCCGGCCCGGTCTCAGGGGTCAAGTCATATCGTCACGGGTGAATGACCTTCGACAAGATTCAACTTGAATGTTTACTTTTTGGCCATAGAAGTAAACAATTTATGTCAGTTTAGTTGACGGGTTCTTCTATGGGTGAATTGTTGCATATTACCTATGTAAAACTATGTTACATAACCTCAAAAATACCAAGAACATTTCATAAATAGTTTTCTTTTTCAGTCTAATATGTTGAAATGCAGTGTGAAATTTAATATTTCGGACCATTTTTTATGCAGTAGGTTCCCCCGTTAATTCACCGTTATATGTTATGATACCCCCATGGTTTATTTGACAAAAATAAATTAAAGCAAAACAAAGAAATAGCCATCGTAAGCTTCAAGGTCAATCTATCCGCTTGCACGGATAGTGACAATCGTCTACTCTTGACACAAGACACAACTGATGTCTGCTGTAGTGCTGTGCGCTTGCTATCTCACAACAGTTTGTGATTGGGTGATTAGTAACCATGGCAACTTGTTGAATGTGTGGATGAAGAGAAACCAAAGAAAGAATAGAAGAACAAATAAGAAAGAATAAGCGGTGTTTTACGTCATCCATTGTTATCTTAATCCTATTTTACGACTGTTGTTATTATCTTTAAGACTAAGTACTATGATTTTATGCTGTTTTATGAGTTATCTAATGTTTTATCGACATTCTTATGTTCTGAAACAACATGTAGTAGTAGCCTATGCTGACTACGGTAGCAGTTAGCTTGCAGTTCTAAACTTTCTATTGTTCTGTTCTTTACGTGATTTATTGTTGTACGTACAGTGTAGTATAATTTTTGTTTTGCTTGAGTAAGCGTGATTTTAAACGTTACAGTTTTTATTACTGAACCAAGGTTAATGACTTAACATATCACGATTGCGCAATACTATTATTTGTATTTTGATTATGTAAAACACATTACATCCGGTTAGTCCGGCCGTTTTGTAGTCCGGCCAGTGGTCCAGTCCCAAGGTGGCCGAACTAGAGGGAGTCTACTGTACAACAATGCTTGGTTATGTGAAGTTTTCTTACAGAATATACTGTACCAACCAATAATGAAAGTAACAGAAAGTGGTTGTTTTGGTGACATAACTGCATCAATTTAATGAGCTATAGATGAAGGAATCTGTCCCTTCTTTTTTACAGTAATAAACATTTTACTCTTAAAAATGAGAATAAATTTTGTCTTCTGATACTAATGAAGTGTTGTGTGTCCAGAAACAGTCTGCAGATAGTATACCAAGGCACGAGTCACTGTTGCAAAGTCAACAGGCTGCAGGAGAAGTCAGTTTACAGGTTCTGTATTTCTGCGGCCAACGACGCCGGCCAGGGCCCTGACTCCTCGTTTTATGAATTTTCAACCACCATTGCTCCACCCCCTTGCTTAAAAGGTGGTTAATTATTTTAATTAAGCTTGAATTTGACACTTTTATAGTTAATGCATCAAGTTTTGGTCAATATTAAAGTAATCAAATTCATTAGTTTAAAAACATGTGTTGAGTGTATAAAAGAGAATTCAATAACACAGTTTTCTAATTTTGAATGGTGGAAAATGGCTTCTATAATGTGTCTGAATAGAAAATTGGTTCATTTAAAAACCATTGTTTGCAAAAAAATTATATATAGGCTGATTTGTATGCCAAGTATTTTAAATGCATGTGATTTTAAAAAAATGCTTCATATTTATGTAAACTAACAGTTATACATAGTAGGACTGTAGTAACTCTTGAGACTATTGGAAGACATCTCGTCTACATGGACCGGCTGTAGCCATTTTAAAATCTTAAAATACATTAATGATAAATAAATGAGTTTGATACAGTCTAAAATTATATTTTCTCTGGTATCTTTTGTTTATGTGACTTAAAAAATGCCATAGGTTAAAAATAGTTGTCCTTTTAGTTTGGCATTGTTAAAAAGTTTACACATCTATCTACATAAATCAGTAATTGACATCAGCACACTGGAGTATGCTTAGTTTCAGTATGAACATGTTTGTTGTATTGCAGCACCTCGAGTGTCCGAGGTAGGGACGAGGAGTTGTTCAGTGGAGTGGTCGGCCACCAAACCGATGGGCTCAGACCCCATACTGTACTGCCTGCAGCTGTCCAGACTACGAGACCAGGTCTACAAACAGGTTAGGAACACTGTTCGTTAAAACTCTGCTTACAACCTAATATTTTATATTTTAAATAGGAAAACCATGTGGCTATTTAGGATAGAAAGAATAGAGCAGCTAGTTTACCAGAGAAAGCCCAAAGGGGCTAGTATATAAAATTGTGAAAGTAACCCAGTCAAAATTAATATATTAACCTAGATATATGCCAATTGGTTAACACATTTGTGCATTTATTGCAGTGTATCCTAATTTTTGTCACATAGCATACAGAATATTGTAAAATTATGGTCTAATGCCAAACTTAAGGAATAGGCTAATAATCTTTTTGTCACTCTCACAAGAAGATATAAACGTAGACCTAATTATTCAGTGGTCAAATAAAATGAAATGAAAAATAACTTGTCGACAAAACTTTGGATAATTTCTAGTAGCTAGATTTCAATGTAGCTTGTCACATGCTATTGAACAAATTTAACGTTTTGCCATAACACGTAACTCACTCTTGAGTATCTCAGGTCATGTGCCGGACGTAAGTGATTGAGTTTAGAGTTGCAAGTTTTATTCATTTGCCATGGAATGTTTAGGTGTACAGAGGAGTGGAGACCAAGGCGTCATTGGGAGAGCTAGAGGCGGGGGCTGACTATTGTGTGAGAGTTTGTGCTGTGCGACAAGTGGAGACAGGTGATCTGCCAGGGGCATACTCCCCTTCAACCACCTTCTCTACCCCCGCCTTGCAGACGACGCCTACCCACACCGCCAAGGCCCATCATGCTCAGGTACTCTTCTTTGTAAGATGTGTCGTCTGTTGGACGATGAACTTTTTTTATGATCCTACCAATTGATAGTGGATGTAAAAAAATTCATAACATTGTAAAAGAATGAATATTAAAACTTTTTACCGCTATTTGCACATTTTAAAAGGGTAATATTTGTTACCTTATACGTATAAAGGTTGGTTAAGAGTCCTTGGAGGCTAGCTGCCATCTTAGATTAATTTCAAACAGCTGCTGAAGACTTATTTAACATCCAAAAATATTTGTAACACACCAATGTGATTGTAATTTAAACATCTAGGGCACTGAGGGATTAGACATTTTCTTTGTAGTTTTGTAATTACTTTATGAGCTAGCACAGCAGACTCCAAGGAATCTTAAGTACCTCAAACAGGTTTAAATTTGTCATTTAATAATAACTAGGGGACCATAGCAGCAATTGATGGTTTATAGTTATGTATCAAATTTAAAAGAACGTGAATACGCACTTTTTTAGAAATTTAGTCATGGTCTTTCCCCAACACGATATACTTTACTTTATACTTAATACTTTTCATTGAAATGGCGACCATACAAAGTAGGTATTTTAAGCCAAGTATAAATGGAGATGAGTGTAAGATGAGTGACACGATACATTTCAACACTGCATTACCATTCTAACCAAAGAACAGAACACTAAAATTAATAAACATACAAATACGATACAAATAAGATCAGCCGGTATGTTTAGCTTACAGAAACACTGTAGCATTACTTCCATTAGAAAATGACCGGATCTTTGAGGGCCTGTGGGGCAGAGCAGAGCAGGGGTGGTTTTTGACACTTCTGATATTTTTCCCACCGTCCTTGGACCTTAAGCTTTAAAATGAATCCTCAAAAGCCATGCTACCTTTTACCTAGCTTGAGATATTTCGTTGGGACTGATTCGCTTACGGAATTAAATACATAGATTGTTGAGAAAATGAAACCTTATTGACTGTTTAGAAAACTGTTGTCAATCTTGGCTTGTTCACCTTATGTCTCTTCACAATACTGATTTTGAAAATATTCATATAAATTAACACCTTAGGATAAAGGATGTTACATTGGCTTTAATTGATGATCTTGCCCAAGCTGTATCAAGAAAATTTCACTTTCCTAATGTTTTACCCATCAAACTCTCGATGTTTTTATTTGAAAAGTTTTTTACCTACTACTACAGTCACAAAATTCATCATATTGAATGCTAGCTATTGTGAAAGATAGTTGCAAGCAGATCTCGTCAAAATACCAGGTTTAATTATTTTTTTATCCTTTCATTTTAGAAAAAAATAAATTTACTTGGATTATTTATTTTACAGTTCTTGTCTGAACTGGTATAACAATATTTACGATACATTATGTCGTAACCTAAAAGTTAACATAGGAAAAGTAGACAGCGTGAAACAAGAACCACTTACGAACAAGGGTGGACAAATGTCTGCAAAAACTGGTCTAGAATTCACTCCTTTATGGAGTTGGTAAAAATTAAAGATTTCTTTATTACTTACGATTTAATTTTGAACACTCAAAAGACTAACTGCATATCATTTTGCACTAAACAAAGACAAATTAAAGAGGAAATAAATATTTACATAGATAATGAGGAAATTTTGCAAATTGAAAATACGAAAATTAAGGGCCATATTAAACTTTAGGAACAATGAATCTGTCAAAACTTACTTTACTAAATTTGAAATTTTGACTGTTTACAGCTTATAAATTTTAGAATGCATAATGTTTGTAAAAAATAATATAAACAGTTTTATTACAAATAAAGATATCCACAGCTATAATACTAGGAATACAAATAAAGTAGTATTACCAAATCATAAATTAGAATTGTTTAAAAGAAAATCTTCATACAACGGTATCAGATTCCTAAATCACAAACCAGATCACATAAGAAGCATGCAGGATGATAGAGGTTTCAATGTGAAGTTGAAAGAATTTTTGATAAAGAGGGCACTTTATTCATTTGATGACTTTTTAAGCTTTAGAACAGATAATAGATCATAAAATTCAGAAAACAGCAACCTGGAGTAGTGTGGTCAATAATATCCTGCCAATCATGTTGATTGTAGCCTACTTGTTCATGTATATTCGTTTTCATTGTTTGACACTATTCATATAAATATGTATTTAAAAATTAATAAAGATCTTTGATTTGATTTTACATAGAAGAAGGGGGCCGTGACAATGTGTCTTTGATGGTTGAGTGGCACAGTGCACCCCACAGTAAACATATCACTCTTCTTTCTTCACTGATATAGAATTATAATGACTTCTACCATAGACAAAAAGAATTAAATATAGACCGTCAGCTGTGCTGCGGTTACCATAGGTTCTGACGCACACCGCTTGGAGCACCACCGTAGTTACGGCGTACGCGCTACGTAAACTGCAGCGGTGTGCGCCGGAACCTATGGTAACCATGGCAACCGCAGCACGGCTGACAGTCTATATTTAATTCTTTTTGTCTATGCTTCTACACACCCCATTTATAATTTTGTCAAAATGTATTACTAATTGTACATTTTGTTTGCAGAGCCCCTCATCCAAGCCCCTGTCGGACACTCAATGGGCCCTAATACTTCTGGTGGTATTCGCTGTTGTTTCCTTCTTGGTTGCATTCATCATGCAACACTTTATCTATTGAATGTATATTTTGCTGACATAACTTCTAATTCAATTCTGACTGTCATTACGTTCCGCTAAGATTCTAATCATCGAGTGTAGTCTTCCATTTATCGGCAGCTACATTTCCCCTTCTGATTAACATAAATTTTGACGCACAGTCCGATCGTAAAGTATTATTTTGCTACAAGAAGTCGAGATCTGGTGCTATATCTGTGTTTCGCTGCTCGAGTTGGCAGTTCTGAACATTGCTAGAGTCACTGTTTAGGTGATTGAATCTAACAGCGTTATGGTTTGCCATAAACTATGATATGTAAATTAACGTTATATTTAGCTTTAACCTATTATTCTTGTTGTTACAGTGTATTGTTATATTTTTGTTAATTTATTATAGGCGTTTAAATTAAATTATATCCGTTTGGTAATTTATGTCGATCAGTTGTTAAGTAATTTATTTTTAAATAAGTTAATAGAAAAATAAAACCTTTTGCCTGCCTACGGTCGTTATCCTTTTATCCAAAGAAAACTGCATTTAATGTTATTTTTACTTCCGATGTTTCTGTGGATTTCAGCAATGCAGAATTAGCATATTCAGCATGAAGACTTTGAAAACCCTTTTAACACAGGTTGTAAACATTGTGTGGGTAAATTTTATTCAAACTATTTTGTACTGTAGATATTCTATCTTAAAAACCTACATACTAATTTTATATGCATTTTTAACTATTGTATTTTAACCTTAATTTAAATTTTAGTGTAATAACATACAATAAGAATATTTTTGATTATTATTTATTTGGGAGTTCCGAATCACATTATATTTTGACTTTCTGTGATAGTTTGCATGGAATGTTTACATCGTGTTTACTGTTAAATATTTTTTAAACTTTTTTCCATTAGACTACTAGACTTGTTGAAATGTGCTATATAATATTTCAGTAAATGTAAAATGTTATTTAATGTTTTTTCAATAAAATCTTCTGCAGCACAACATATTTTTATCTTTGTCTCTTGTGCAAACATTTTTCATAACATAAGCACTTTTGTATGGGTTTGACTATTTTGTATGTCTACTTTTATAAAGGTAATTCAATAAAATATTTTACTTAAGATAGAGGGCCTACTGTTGATTGTTGCCATTATTAATGACTAATCTCGCTTAATGCTCTGAATGTGTTTTAATTTGTTTTCATAAATCGTAAACATCATTGTAAATATTGTGGGAACACCAATATATGAAGGAAGGGATCGTCAAACGCTCAACTGAATTGTCTAGTTTATTTATTGTATCGAGGTGCTAATGTTCAGAGCTGCTAATATGTGTGCATTACTGTTTTTAACGTTTGTGCGAATGGAAGTTAGCCTTATGAAGGTGCAATATTAAATAGTTACCGATCTTCCAACGCACTCGACGAGTAACGGAGTCTACATTGACCCCAACGCATTCATTCCTGTAGCGTACATTTTTATTCTTTAATGGTTTATTTTGAGTGTTTGTTGGTGCATTTTTCTTTTCCAGGTGTAACATGAATGAAAACATATTATTGTTATTGTTGTGATTGTAATGAAACAGAGTTTATTTATCATTGCTGTTATTCTAAAGCAGATGAATGACAAGAGATATATTATGAATACTATACTAGTTATATTAAAGTTATATATAAATATATTATAAATATATAAATATAAAATAGTGACGTTATATTTTATGTATGTGGATCATCACAAAGATTACAATTTCCACTAAAACACATCTTTGGCTTTTACTGCAATACCCTGTTCCTCCATTATTTTTATTGATCGCTTAGTCAGTGTCATTATAGCAGTTAACGCAACGATTGCATTAACACTATATTTACGCGAGTTGCGTACACTACTTTACCTACGACAGTGTTTTAATTACTAAAAATCACTACTCACTTCTAAAAAAAGTTACCTATTTGTTTATAACCTCTTATTGCCACTGACAAGTGATGCAACGAAACATTGTACTAACCACTAATTGCACCACTCAACTTGTCAAATTGTCCTGAACAGCTGATTAGTTGATGTTCAAATCATAATTTTACTTCTTCTCTCACAATTCTTGAACCTCATTGGTCCGTTAACCATGTTGTTATGAGTAAAACTATGCTGTTGTGTGCATCTTTTCAATTCTAAGAACTGAACTGAAACGGCTACTTTAAAAAACGGCCGTAGGTAAAGTTCTTAACCCAATTATTGTTGATGTGATTTCTATGTACCGTATATTACTCTTCATTTACAAATAGAAACAGGGAACTCATGCGTAAATTGTGCATTTTATTAGGGTTCAAAACTTAATTCCAAGTTAAAAATAATAATACATGTGTTATGTATGTGTGTACTGTACATACTTTTCAAAGATCTTGATAGATAGATTTGTACTAGAAATATCTGTTTGTGACCAATAAATTAATGACTTAAAATATTAGACCGTGTGTAAGAAATTCAAGTGGTTTGTTTTTATAGTGTTTCTATTGCAGAAAACTTAGTTAAAACTAGTGATGTGTCAAAACCGAATCTCAAATCTCAAAACCATCAAAACTTAGGAAAAGTTTCGGTTTCGAGATTCGATCACCAAGTTTCGAGATTCAAAAGTTTCGAAATTGAAGATTTTGGCAGTTTTATTTTTTAAACTGCTGACATTTTTTTGTGCCATTGTTATTGTTTTCAATGCTGTTTCCAAACAAGCTGGTAGAAACAGATCAAACATCACCATTAACAGTAATGAAACAAGTAAAGTTTATTCTGAACTTCAAAAGGTATCTTAAATACTATAACTGGTACAATTCAGTTTCACATAAATATTTACTAAACACAAAGATATATTGACCACTAAATTTTCTAATTAATCATGTTTATTTTGGTGTGTTAGAAGTTTATTTTTTTTTTTTTTTTGTTTTTGTTTATGAAAAATTATGTTGTATTGGGTTTTATAAAGATTATCAGTCACATTCACATATTTATGTTATGTCACGGTCACGAGTCGATCTCTTTCAGTTTTGATTGCATACTTAGAATTTTATGATTATGTCTATTTTTTTGTAACCTTGACCTTTGTAGCCAGCTAAGTAAAAAAGTTTCGCGTCTAGGTTTTGAGATTCGAGATTCGGGATTCGATTTTTTAAAGTTTCGGTTTTGAGATTCGAAATTTCTGGTTTTGACCATCACTAGTTAAAACTACTTATTAATATTACAAAAAATCTATAGTACCTGCGTACAAAGTAACTAGCCTATCAGTAATTGAGCACTAGGCTGATATGACCGGTTTAGGTTTAATATGAAATATTGGATCATAAAAATTAAGGTTGGAAGAAAATAAAGTTTCTCTTCAATAAATTATTACATTGTCTCATAATACAGTAAAACCATTGAGTATACACGTACTAGGGTTATAGCTTGTGCGTTTCTTGGTGAAGCCTGGGGGTAGGGTTGAATCCCCTACAAAACCGGTTGTGAGCCACTCTAACCACCTACCCCCAGGCTTCACCAGGGAACGCACGAGCTTTAGACACTCATGGGGGCTGTCGTTATCTGAATAGCGCTGTTGCAGAGTAGCGTCAGCGGCCCGAACTACGCCACCTCGAGCATGTCAGTAAGTCAGTTTTGTTGTTTTTTAAATATTGCGTTTATTGTAGGTTGTAAAATGCCGTTTTTGTTGACAAAATCGGTCTGGTTGACTCTCAAATAAAATAAATAATCTAAATAGGAAGAGCACTGATATAAGGTCGATATGTGCAGCTCGGTCTAAAAAGTCAGAGATGTTGTCAGGTCGCATCTTTAGTAGTCGAGGGGGAGCGAGCTGGTGTAGTGGTTAGAGCGCGGGACTTCAGTCCCTGAGGTCCCGGGTTCGATCCCCGCCAAGTCACCAATGGATTTGATCTAAGTGATAATGCTGCAACCCCTAGGTCTAGCCTGAAGTAATGTGAAAAACAATCCCAGGCTTGTGCCTATCGTCCTAGGACAAAAAAAAAGTAGTTGTGTGTTTAGAATGTTTTCAGAATAGTGTGCATAATGACCCTGCGCTACCCGCCCGTGCACAAAACCTTCCCCCCAAGGCCATACCCTCAAAACCCAACTAAACGAAGGGTGATGAAGTCTTTTAAATAGCATCGGATAATTGGCGCTCTACTGTAGTGTTCATATATGAACCATTTTATGATCTTTAAATTAGTATTTGAGGTAAGAAGTGGACAAAATAAAGCACCATATTTAACCAATAAACTTATTATTTAATTAAACTAAAGATAATCATACAAAACTAAATCTTCAGATCAGTTGTAGTATAAAAACCAACCTTGAAAAAAGGGAAACGCTTACCAGTCAAGCTACACGGTAAAAGGTGATATTTAAGACATAGGTGAGCCCGATACAAACTTAAAAATCACACCATTGTCTTTTTAATCACAAATGCATTTGCCACTTTTTCAAAGAAAATACACCAATTCCTATTCTATAATACTTTATTTGTCTTTTCTTTCTTGGGAAATACTGTTGTGCAGTTTACTGACTTCTGGCTCAATTAGGTCATAAACGATGACTCCGTTGTCATCGATGAAGCACGCCACTGACTTGGTCATTGAAGCTTCTCTGATTGTCCCCGTCTTGCTGTCTCGACAAGTCAGAACCAGGTTATACTTGTCATCGTACCTACAACATTGAAACACAACTCTCTTATTCAAGTGTTTGGTGACTTTCTTCATTGTTGACTTTTTAACAACTACTTCCTGGCTAAAGGTAAATTAAAAACATGTTTTACAATGTATGATAAAAACAATTAGAAGCCAGCCCCGATTCATTGATCATTACACTTTTAATCACTTAATTTCTTAAAATTCATAGCTGCCGTTTCAATTGTAAGTTAAAGAGAGGTTGTTGCTATCCACACAAATTATTCTAAGCACTCTAATTAAAACAAAACAACGTTTTAATCGACTTTGCAAATAAAACATATGTATATATAAATAGATAGACTCACAATTGAACCTTTTTAACCCTTAATTGTCCCAAAAGCCACTATACTGGTGATCAAGAATAACATAACCACAACTTCCATTCACTATCGATGCAGGTAAAACTCAACAAAACATCTAAAAGCTACAGCATCTGACATGTGCTGCAGCCTGGCAGACAAGTTAAGAACTACAACACTAGCTATTTGTTTAAGAGCCTTGTGTAAGTAGAAGACTAATAGGCTTGATCACTTTCCTACTTTTGGCTTATCCTTGTGTGGGTGTTTTCTGTTTTTTTTTCTCCTAAAATTGTTCGTACAGAACTAAAACTGTAAATCTTACCATATCTACAGCATGAGAGGAAAAAGATAAAATTAGGCATTTCAAAAAACAAAACACCTTTTTAAGCCTCTAAGGATTGAAAAAAAAAAAAAATAAAACACAAGCACTAATTCAGAGGCATTGATATTGCAGATAATGATTTATCACTCACTTTTTTAAGTATGAGCTTGCTTCCCACGTTTTATCAGGTGAAAATCCAGTTGGATCTTTCTGGATTGATACAACGAAGATTCCCTTCTCCTTGTAAGTAGTGTACAATGTGAGCAATCCCATGATGATGAAGTATAAACTGACGCAGATAATCAGGACTGGTCTGAATAAACATCAAACACAATGAGATTCTCACAGTCAGGCCAAAATAGACGTCAAGAATATTAATACGTAATTTGTGTTATAAAAAAGATACTGAAGGTTAGTTTAGTTCAATTTGTTTGGTATAGGCTTATAGTTGGTTTAATGTTAAAATATTGAGACCTTTTAGCCAATCTAAAGCTTATAAGAACTTTGGATTCAAATTGTGCACCATCACCTCTATTATATGCAATATATTACACTAGCTGTAACCCGCGGGCTTTGCCCCGTTTAACTTCTTAATTTTCAAGATTACCTTGTTTGCATGGCTCAATCGCGTCCTGGTTGAAGTTTTTCGCTACGCTCACTCACCTTTAGGTTGGAGCTCGTTCGCTGCGCTCACTTGCCTTCAGGTTAGCTCGTTCGCTACGCTCACTCGCCTCCAAGTTGAAGCTTGTTCGCTACGCTCAAACCTTTTGGTTGCAAATTAGCTGTTGTCATAAATGTAAAAGAAATAATAGTGCTGTTAACTTTAATGCTATTGAACATCATAGAACAGAACCAACTTGTTTAATTGAAACAGCTGTTAAGATTCAATAATTCCATTTCTCATAAGGTTAACATGGGAAACTCCAGAGCCACTGGGGCGGAGCCCGAAAGGATTTTTGAAATAAGAATATGCCTATATGTTAATCGGGCATGTGAGCTACCATCATGCCAAATTTCAGCCCAATCCGACCAGTATTTTTCGCGTTCACTTGTCACAAACATCCAAACTTTCTCATTTATAATATTAGTAGGATAGGATAGGATAGGATGAAATATAACTTAAAAGACCTGACTCCAACAGCTTTTTGACAATTACTGAGATAAATATTTTATGAGGTATGGTTTATCAAAGAATCAAATATAGTGCAAATCCCAGACAATTTCCAAAATATTTTTTTTTCTCAAATATTTTATTCTTATTAAGAGACTCTTGACTGTAAAAGGCTTGTTTAGTGACAATATAAAGGTTAGTTAAGTTTGTAATTGATAATGAATAAAGTTTTTCCATAGGCCTAATTTAAACTTTTTCAGCACTCAGTTTCACCATCAGTAAAAAATATCCAACTGCCTAAAAGCTAAAATATTTCATGCTATAATTTGCCAATGACAATTGTACGAGTTTGTGATACAGGACGTTTTGTTATTCCATTATCACAATTAGGCCTAGTTAGATCTCAAAAGCAAAACAAAATATTTATTTACCTAGACATGGGGAAGGGGTAAAGCCAGTCCCAGAGGAGAGCGAACATGGCAACGGAGACGGCCAAACCACACAAGACCAGCCTGCCATCCATCAGTGCAAAGTTCTCTACGTAGTTGAACTTCTTTGTCAAAACCTTAAAAAATTACAAATAACTTATATTTTCCACATACACATCTTAAGACGCTAGGCTCTAGACTTGAACCGTATTACACATTATTCAGGCTAGGCATAGAGAATTGTTGTCCATTGCTATTGGCGGGATGTGAACCCAGGAACTTCATGGAATAGTAGGCCTACTCTAAGTTAAAGCATTATTTAAACTAGATAGGTCTACATTTTTAACCCTTCGCAAGCGGTCACTACATGATCAATAATGTGGTCGGGTTAAAAAATTCATTTTAAAATGTTGACTTTTCCACTTCTATCTGATGTTAAAAGTAAAATATAGACAACCATTTTCATCAAACAATCTTTTTACTTAAGTTTGATGGCCATAATTTAGCGACATACATATACGTACAACGCTCAATAAGGGACCTACAACTCAAACACTTAACACATAAGAAACACAGTAAATTACGGGGATGCGGAATACTGTCCCCCGGAAAACCACCCCCCCAGGTGAAACGTGACGACACGAAATCTGTCAACTAACCAATATGGGAGCCGTGTCCGCGACTGGAATACTACCCCCTTAGCAAAATGTGATACTATGTAATTGTAATTTTAATTAGAGTAATTCCGTTTGATAACAGAAAAGGCATGCAGGGAATACGGTATCATACAGAATTTTGAAATGTTACAGCAAGTTTGGTTGGTTAGGTTAGTTTAGAACAGTATGACAACGAAACTTGAGTTGGACTGGAAAACTACCCCCCCCGATCTCTGACGTCCACATGACGTAGGAACCTGCTTGGGGGGGTAGTTGTCCGAGGGGCAGTCTTCCGACGACCCTAAATTACATCCCTGTTGCTATCCTGATGCTGCCAAAAACTGATATTTTTTTTTAACTGAAGAGTTTACAAATCTAATAAACATATAACTTAGGCCTATTGTAAATTATTTATCTCATATTTACCTCTTTGACTGCATCATCTAACGCATTTTTCACTGCTGCTCCATCCCATTTATTAACTTTGATGGGTTTGCTGTCCTGGAAAGTTTTGAAAACATTTTAATTACATAACCTACTACTCATAGGATATTTATTTATTTCATAAGTTAAAAATAAGTTGAAAACATCGGATTTTGTCTACATTAATATTCTTAAATTACCTAGCCTAAAGAGCTTAGAATTATTTTGTGATACTTACGCAAAATAGCCTATCAATAAATCTGGGTGAAGTTAGGCCAGGCGCACACAGGCGATTTTGAGTCTAGCAACTGCTGCCCAACTAAACTTAATAGGCGGACTGTTGCGCAACTCACTCAGAGACTCTGAAGTCAAGCAACAGTTGCACAGGAGTGCGCACACAGGCGACTGTTCAAAACGCGAATTGGACATTACAGTATGGATTTAAATGCTACAAAAATAGTATGTACTCTGTTATTGAAGTTTCGCACGTGAAAGAAGAAGAGGATTAGATGGTTCAAATCTTTTGTATCTGCCTCCTCCCACAATGTCTTCTTCAAAGTTTTATCAGAATTGTCTTTCAATGACTTTAAATATAAAGGCGGCCTCTTTTCAACTTCCTAAATTAACTGTTCAATTTCCTCAACACGCAAACTCATACCTAAAAATTTGCTTTTTCCAGACGTACTTTACACTAAAGTTAAAGTTAAGAAGAGAGCAAGCACAAGTGCTGTTTCCCATGACTGATACTGAGCGACACAGCGACACTATAGTCGCATGTGTGCACATCTAGACTTGTTTGAATGGATACCAAGCCTAGAGCGACAGTCCCGCGACAATTGAGTCGCAGAGCTGTCTCTGGCAAATTGGGTCCGGGAACAACAGTTGCGCGACTATCCCTCGACTTGGTGTGCACACTCCAATTTAAAACAATGGAACATTTTGGTCGGGCAACTGTTGCTAGATTCTAAGTCGCCTGTGTGCGCCTGGCCTTAATGGATATTAAAAAGAACAACCTAGGTTGTTGGTATATGTGTTTTAAGCAGTTTAAAGAAGGTAACTTACTAGTCCTTTAACTGTTCGAGTGCCTACTACGCTAAATTCTTTAGTTGGACTCCAACATTATTGCAAATGAATAGGCCTGATACAAAATAATGCCATTTATAGGTGTTAAATACACAGCCGATTCTTTATATGAAAATGTTAAATAGCTCATTATTTAGCTCACCTTGCATACACTTACACAAACAAATGACAAATTTTTTTTATCGTTACTGCAGTAAAAATATTCGTTTTTAGTGCATGCGTTGCGGGTCTCAAATAGCTCATTACTACCTTGGGAGTAAAAGTCCCCCCTAAATTAAATGAGTTGCAAATTTTGATTGTAAGCAATTACATGTTTCAAAAGTATGCAAGTTATGGATCGTTTTAATCAGTTTTAGCTTATTTTTGCCCTCATGTCAATAGTAGGGCCTACGACATATCGTATCGATAGTAAAATGTATGATTACTAACACAGTCGTAGCTTAATAGACAAAATAATTGAATCACTACTAAATAAACAGCTAGCTGCTTGTTTGTATCAGCAAAATTGAAAACAGGTTGGAAGTCGTTTTGAGAGCTTTGTTTTGCAACTGAGTTTGCTTAGGTTAAATAATGGTGCAATATGACAAAAAATGGGTATATTTCCGTAAGTTATCTGTTGGCACAAACAACCGAATGAAAATATTGATTATTTCATTCGATATATCGTTTGGTTAGTTAGATTAGGTTAATCTCACCTAGGTAACTAACCAAACGATATATCGAATGAAATAATCAATATTTTCATTCGGTTGTTTGTGCCAACAGATAACTTACGGAAATATACCCATTTTTTGTCATATTGCACCATTCAATAGGTTTCAATAGGTCAATAGGTTCTGTTGTTTGTGCCAGCAGATAGATATGGAAGTCTACCCCAAAAAACCTATAAATACGGTACATTTACAAAGTGTTAATATCTTATTCGTGTCCTCTTTTTCATAAGTTAAAAAAAGTCAAATTTTGTAGATGATAACTTTGTTTGACTTCATAAACTAAACTGATCCAAATCAACTGAACCTATACTCCGCAGCTCACTCCTAAAGAGTGGTAGGCAGAACCTCTTTCTTGAATGGACCCATCACAATAAATAACAAAAATCAATAGGCCTATTTTATCAATTGAAGTATTTTATCAAAACAGTAACTTGTTTATAATGAATGAAAATTTTATCCGAGAGCCTATTCTCAGGTTCTCTGCAGAAATGAACATATTTGTCTTAAAATGCAAATGGACCATTCAAAGATTTGGCTAGCTAATGTTATTGGAATTCCTTACAGTAAATCGTGCTTACAAATAGCATTTCTTGCACTTACGACTAGAAAGATAGCTTTAGTTATCAAATAAAGTAAATCAAATTGGCCTAAGTGAGAAAGTAGATAGGCTATAGGCCTAGTTTAGTTTAGGGCATAGAACAAGAATGCCTAACCTAAAAATGGAATTATTGTTTTCAACAGTAATCATGGATAGGAGTTGTAAGTATGAAATGCTTAATGCACAGAATTACATAAAATACTTACACCGGCATCTTTGGAGTTTTTTGAAGACATATTTTACAAGTTAGAATTAACACCTCGACAAGCCACTTTGGCAATCAACAAGAATATTTCCAAAACGAATCAAAGGCTTTTAAAATTATTGATCTACGTGTGCAAAGACTTTTGAAACCAACCTCATTACTGCTTTTACAAATAAATTTTCTTGATGCAAAAGGCATTGATTATAGAACACTTATTTGGAAGTTCTAAAGTCAATGTTTGTGTTAAAATTTAAATCAATATTGAAAGTGTCATTACACCCTTTAAATACCATTAATGTTACCCTCTGTCTTTTTAGTCATTAATTTTGAAAAAGAAAAAAATGGTTAGATCTACCCCTGGAAATTAACATAATTATCGTGTACAGCAGCAAGCATGAACATATAGTCCAGGCGCTAAACGGGTTGAGTATGCACTGAAAGTCTGACAAAATTTGACTTTTGATTATTGTTGGGGACATCTAGTAGATGAAAAAAATCGATGATGTCGCATTTCTAGGGTGGTCACAACTCGGGGGGGGGAAGTTGCGCGGGTCATCGGTTTACGTTTCCGCGTCTAACTCACAAACGGTTAATGATAGAAAGGTGAATTAAGCGTCTATCTACGCCTAAATATATTGTCCTTCAAAAAGGTTATTACAACCTTTCTTCTATCTCTTATACTTTAGGGGCTAATCAACATTTATTGCAAAAAATAAAATTTAAAAATACTTTAAAATGAAATATCGGAAATATTGCGCTTGTTTAGGGCATGTTACAAACTATTTATGGTTAGAAAAACTAACAAGTAGTACAACAGCACCAAGTTTAAAGAAATCTGTGCAAAAACAACAGAGCTACGTTGATTTCAGTAAGAGTAAACGTGGAAAATTCGTAGTAGTATCGAGGCGCGCATGGATGGTACGTAGCCCACAGTCAATATAGGTTTGATGTTGTAAGTAACCATGGGAAAGCTGAATTTTTCTATGTTGTTAGACCATGTTGAGATGATCATTTTCCCAAAAGTCCCCACTCCTACCCCTTTGTACTTTCCTCTACCCCCCCCCTTTTAGATAAATTTACAGTCTCTTAGAAATTAAGCTATAACTTTAAAACGGGTAAGGATAGTAACGCAATCTTTAATTAATCATTTTGCGTTACGATATTCTACAAAAAGTGTATTTACCACGGTATCCTACTTAAATACTCATAGTTAAACCCAGCACACTTTTTTTATGTATAAAAAAAGTGTGCTAAAAGTGTGCTCACAGGAATCATTAATAAAAAAAAAGTGTGCCACCCCCGTTACTAAAAAAACAACCCCTAACTGGTAAGGGTAATAAAATGACCCAGCCCGCCCATTTCAGCAACAGATCTATAAACCATACTAAAAAACTGTGCTGAAAGTGTGCTCACAGGAATCATTAATAAAAAAAGTGTGCCACCCCCGTTACTAAACAAACAACTCCTAACTGGTAAGGGTAATAAAATTACCCAGCCCGCCCATTTCAGCTACAGATCTATAAACCATACCAAAAAACTGCGCTGAAAGTGTGCTCACAGGTAACAGGAATCATTAATAAAAAAATGTGCCGCCCCCGTTACTAAACAAATAACCCCTAAGTTAGGGGTTGTTTGTATATAAGTATACTTCCATACTTTTTTCAGTATCCTATCTAAAGTCAATGCTTCATCTGTTTATCGTAAATGAGATCGATATTTGTAATATCTAAAGTCAATGGGAGGGACAATGTGTTTAACAGTTCAAATTACAAGTTATTTTCTTCAAGGAAACATACTTTAAATAATGTGATATTTTAAAATAATGGCACTTTTATTAGGTACATACAACATTAAATCAATACTATTGGAGAACAATTTACTTTTTAGCTTAAATCCTATCAAGTGGAATTATTGGACCTATATTAACATTTTATTTTACATTAATTTTACATATTATAAATTTACCAAACTAATTTTACCAGAGAGAACTGAATAAAACATTAATTTATTAATAAAATAATAGCATATAATAAACATACTCCCATGATATAATAGTCTGTATTGATTGAGAGAGTTCCCATATGGATGGAAACATCAAACATCTAAACAAGATTGAAGTTGTTTAATCAATAAGCTCAACTAAAACCAACTAGCTGCCTCAATCTGTCATCATTTTCACAAACATAAACAGATGGCATGGATATTTAAAAACCTGAATGTGTAAGAAGATTTTAAAGATGGAATTTAATGCTTGTGACATTAAAAAACTTGCTGACCTGTTGAAAGTTGAAGGTGAAGATTCTTCTAGTGATGATGATATTCCAAGATGTTCTAAATTAGGTAAATAAGAACAAATAACTTATATTAATCATAGCCATTCTTAACCACCCCAAGGATAATTTTGATATACCGGTAGATCTTTTGTAAAATTATGTAAAAGTATCAGCACCAATAGCAGCCTTGCAGTAATGTTAGTCCTCAATCTTTGTCAACAAATTCTTAATCATGCCATATAAATACTTTTTTTATACTTTTATGACCATTTGACTCAAGGCAAACACCCACACCCAGCAAACTTGCAGACTAAGTTTTCAATTTATTATGATTGGGTTTCAAAAAAATATTTACCTACATAAACAATTGATATTTATTTCCTATATAAATAACATTATATTTCATGAATACTTAGGGTTCCTGCTTTGGAGAAGGGGAAAAGTGTTTTGGTAAAATTAGCATACGTTGAAATAAATACATTTGCCAAATTTGACTTAAATATGCGTCAATTTAATATAGGGCCTACAAAGCAATTAATTAAACAACAACTTTAGGCTCCTTTGGCTCATGAAGGTGTATTTTTACTGATTTAGGCCTATCACTACAAATATCTGAAATTGGGAAACAAAATTAAAATTAGTGATATTTCTTTCATAGGCACATAGCCTATCCTAATGAGTAATAAAATAGGTAACCAACAAAATATCAGTTTGCAGGGAAAACATATTTTTGAAATAATCGACCCGTATGTGCGACAAATTTAAGTTTGTCTACCCTTAAGAAGCCCTTTTTTGGGTTCCACCTAGCATTGGATTAGATCTCCAGGACAATGGTGTGTGATATATGTATATCTAACTGAATACATGATAATTCCTAGACAATAAGGGTGAATGAAGCCCACAAGTTTCACAAATAAATAATTATTTTATAATTGAAATGTAGGCCTATATCTGTAGATATGGATGACTTTGTTGTTATATATTGCTCAGTGTGTTTATGACAATGGCCTCATTGCTATCTAAGACAATAATGCTAAAATGTTAATTTGTTAAAATCACCGCATTAAATTAATATTTTACATTGAATTCTTTTAAAAGATAAAATTTGGTAACAATAATGTTCTAGGACCAGGTGATATCCAGCCAAAAAGTAAAATTAACATTAGAGTTCCAGATGAAGATAATGAAACGGAGAAGTCAAAAAAGACAAAAAAAGACCCACAAGACATTTGGGATATTGAAGAGGTACAAGTCGTACCTTTCTGTGATGATGCTTCATATGATCCCAGGCCAAGACCAGAATTTGACATTCGGTACAGACAGGCAGTTTCTTCTGAGGATGTTTTTTTACAGGTAGCTTTTATTTGAAGGTCAAACAACAGAAACTCTACTATATTCAGAAACAAATTTCTAATACAGGTGTGCAAGCAGGGAAATTCTACTTTTCCCTATCCTCAAACTATTTATAATTGAGTAGAGTGAACAAAGCACCTTTACGACACTCTAGTTTTTTATTTAAACATACTCCTCCTGAAAGGCTGAAGCGATCCAATCTAAATTTGGATCTGACATAGTCTGTAGTAACCTAAATTATCTGTTGTCCTTCTGTAGCTCTTGTTTCCACAGCTAGGCCGCAAGACGCCAGCGACAGCCAGCTGTGAAGTGATGGTGATTGAGATGTGTCTGGAGGGAGAGCGGAAGGAGGACATTGACCTACAAGTGACCAAACACCACCTGGACTTGAGGTCTCCTATGTACAGGCTGAGTCTCCCCCTCCCCCACCCAGCTGATCCTGACCATTCTACAGCTGAGTGGCAGACAACAAAATCACTACTGACTGTGTCTGTCGCCCTCACTAGAGATCTTGACTTTGTTAACTTTTAATAAACCTTTTTTATCGATACAATTGTATGATTACATACCATTTAGTTCAACACACTAACTTTTGGATATTGAAGTAGAGATATCCCATCTATATCAGGTATAACCAGTTTTGTGTTGCAAAAGGAAACTGTAGAATGAGCCACTGACAAGAGTGTGGTATCCCTAGCCTGAAATTACATTTTCTCCCTTAGTTGTTGTTACTGCTTAGGTTGATGTGGCATAAATGATAGGTAGTTAACTGGAAGTGGTCCTTAAAGGTTGGCTCTGTTGAAAAGTTGGCGTATTCTATATAGATCAGCGATTCACATCAGCACACTGTCGTTAAATACAAACTGAAAAGATTTACTATGACAATAGACATTCTAGTTCTATCCTTAGTTCTTTCATTCTTCTTTTCTCATAGATGACGACTTGAAATCACAACAATGAAATCTGCTGATTATATATGCTGGTCATTTCGCCCCTGCTATTTCATGTAAAATATCAATTTTAGATCAATTGATCACGAATCACACAGAAAAATGAATGTGAGAATATGAATAGTTTTTTAACCCACATATCTCATTTTTATATCCATGCACATAGCAAACTCTACTTCCATGCCACTGTTACAGTAGTCGCAGCTAGTCTGGGCGCGCGGCCGTGCTAGGGCGGGCGGTGTAGAGGGGAGTGTTTATTGTTCATTTCCAAAAACATCTGACCCACACGGCTTTCTGGGGTTGTTCAGCGAGGCTGTGGGGGTGAGCGAGCTGATACTCTCAGCACGGTTAGTACACAAGGGTCCGCGCGCCCAGACTAGCTGGGACTACTGTACACCAAGTGGTATTTGGGCTTATTATCGATTTTCCTACACTTTCTCCAATCCTCAGCATCTTCTCTCACTTATTCTTCCTTGCATTTTCTGTAATCTCCTCTTGTATACTATGCTTCCTATCCTCATCAAAAGTCCAGACCATCTCCATGTCGACTCTTTAATTTAGCAACCATCTCTGGTGCTGGAATCAGTTTCCTTTCTTCTTATTTTGTTTAATACTTCATAATTCATATATCAAAATTTCATATTTCTAAGTTTTTTTCAGTACATTTCTTAGACCAACAAACACACAATTTAAGACAACTGATTTTAGTAAACTTTCCAAAAAAAGAATTTAATTACCGGTACTTCTTACTTACGTTGCTAGTAAAAAGTCGTAAAAATTAATCTGATAAGTAATTAATTGTACTTACAGCCTGCTCATATTTTCTGGTAAAGAACCTCTTTAAAATGAGTTTCATATTCTTTCAAAACTATAGCTCTGATTATCAAAGAGTCTTAAATGTCTGTATAGAAATAGCCTTATTACAAGCCTACATGATTTCTTTATTTGTATTGTCAGACAACAAACAGACACTTACTTCAGTCTAGACTTGTTTCTGTTGGTTCACTTCAACTACTTGCTAGTTTTATATCTCTTAAAAATCAGCAGAGGTTTAAGCCGGGTTTTCCTAGACGCGGAAGAGGGTCGCGGAGAGAGGAGAGCAGAGAGCGGAAAAGCAACTAACATGGCGTTCCGCTTCGCTTCTAGGAAAATAGTATCATTAAAATTACCTAAGACAAGAGGAGTCCGCTCTCCGTGTTCCTTTCTCCGCGCTACGCTTCTGCGCCTAGGAAAACCCACCTTTATTTAGACAGACATGTTGATATAGTTTTCTGGCTCTGTTCTTGTTGACCTAAAATTACAGCCTTAAACGAACAAAAATCATTATAACTTTTAAATCAAATTTTAAATTCTAAGTTTCTTATTTGTATGCTGACAAATAAAATTAGACAAGATTATAACAATTTTAGTATCTGATAGTCAAAGGTATCTGTTAATCCAAAAACTATTTTACAAGGCATCTGGTCAATGGAAAATGAACATCAAAATGCTTGTAGACATTTATTTTCTTGCACGCACAACACAAAAAGCAAAAAAATATACATGATTAGTTTTAAAATAAACTTACCATAATGACTTCTAAGTCAATTCTACCATGGTAAATATTGTTTGTGACTAGAACATCATGGTTGAGTGACATAGCATGACAGGTTTTAAACTCACCAATGTCGAGTCTCTCTGGAATCATATTTTTAAAACGTAAAATAATAATAACACTAAACGGATAGTGTCAACTCACAGTGTAGTTAGAAATAGATGGATAAATCTTTACAACATGATTTAATTCTCTTTAAGTTTTTTGATCGATAAAGTTTTCTTTTAACTCAACAAAATGATTGATTTGATCTGTAATATCAATAGTAATTAATTATATTTATACAATCATGTCCATCCCAGTAAAAAATTAGGCATAAGTGAATTAGACGCCAAGCACAAAAGCTCAATAAGCTAATCCTCACCCAACTGAAAATCATAACGAAATAGATATCAGATTGCATGGTACCTGATTTTACGCAAAGTGCCCTAGTAGCATATTTTTGACATTCCTTTATTACATATTCAAAAATAATTGCTAAACATTATAATCGGATTAAATATTCAAATGACCTTGACGGACGGATTAAGGTTCTTGACTTATTGCATAAAAACACAGAATCAAACACTACTAAAAATATATTGGCGAATTTGTGACTAACTTTTCTATATTGTACTCTATAAGAAGCTCAAGCGATTTTATTTTTCTAGTTTTGAAAAATGAAAATTAACATGGCAAACATTGAGATTTTTATCTTGCAAGATAATAGAGAATATAATTTCAAAAATTAAATACAAAATTGAATAAATAATTAAAAATACAATCTTCAACAATAAAAAGCAATTTTAAGTAGAAAATAAAATGTAAAATAAAATAGAAAAAATGTTAAAACTTTCAAAAACAAAATCGGTTCCTAAGCCAAAACGTTATCTGTACAAGTGTGTTAAGCAGATCAGGCTGTCGTACCAGGGCGGAGTGAGGCGATATACACATTCTATGGACAAGGCGCCTGTAGAGGCTCAACTAATGGTTTGTCTCCCTCACACACTCTACTGCTATGAAGTCTCCGTCTCTCCGTTCCAAGATTCCCCGTTAGTTTCTTCTACGTACTTTGTCACCGAGTTGTAATGCTCTCCCAGGTTATACATGTGGCGGTGGAATGTTAGGATGAGTCGTTCTGCCTCAGGAAACTCTTCCCCCACCACCACCGGAGGACCCGTTGCTTGGATCACTTCAATTCTGCACTTCAACACATGTGCCAACGCTCTCAGCTACAGACAAACAAACATTGATAGATCAGATTAATATGCAGTGTGAAGATAAATGAAACATTAGTGTTGAATGAGGTAGCGTTGTTACTGACTAACATTATCTTGTTTGTTAGCCATGACTATTTATTATGTATGAGCCCAATGATTAAAGACTCTACTGTTCCAGTTTCAAACCATCAAACCACAGATTGCTGTCCAGCCACAGGCTAAGCAGAGTAACCCGATTGCATCTACAGCCAGGGCACTCCAAATGTGCAGAGTAAATGAATGAATGAACACATAGTATAAATAATGAATATTGATACGTTAATTTATTCGGTAAGAGCATGACAGATTATTTTAATATACATAGTAAAATGTATATTAATAATTGGTGTTCCAATTTATTTTTTGAGCAGTCTTTAAAATCTTTTTAGTGCAATATCTATATATTTAATACGCGACATGAAACTTTGTGAACAATAAGGCTTTATTGTTTTAAGATTTAACCCCACATATTATGTACCAAAATGTTCGTCTAGGTGTGTAGATGTGCAAACTGGCTTTAGATTTTTGAAATATATCTTTTTAAGGGCGTGGACAGCCCTCAAAGTCCCTTCCATAAGGATAACATTGTGATTGATTTGAATGTTATTATATTCTGAAACAGATGTCAATACATTAGTTTAAAAAAATTAAATCCCAGCTGTTTTGTTTGGTTTTGAAATGTAAATAGTTTGCATGTTTTTAAAAATAATTAGAAACCTGGCAAAGAAATGTTACCTATAGGACATGACGGGAGAAATGTTTTACATAATATTTACGTTTAAACATGCCAAGGACCCGACGACAAAGAAATATTGCCGGTCGGACACGGTGAGTCAACATACGGCAAGCAATGCAAAACGTAAGCAGCCCAGACGAGGAGCTGGAACCGTGAGTGGCAACGTGTACTTACAAATTACACTGACAAATACAGTACAAGAATTCAGCAGCATTCACTTGGCGAGATGGCATTGAAATGTCAGAAATGAGGTGCGCTACATTTTAAAGAAAGAACAAATAGGACGAGGCGCAGGATTTTCATCCTGCTGCCATAAATGAAAAGTGAATCTACCACCATCCCGATAAATCTATTATATCCAGAGCCTACAAATCATTTGAGCAGAAACTACAAAGAGAACATTAGATCGTACAACTCGGCGCTCGCAATGGTCAGCAATTGAGCTAAAATTGAAGAACATAACGGTTGAGGCATTTCTGTATAAGAAGGTGCACGATACAATTTATCACTCAATTGGCACACTACTTCAACCGTCAGAAGGGGAGCATCCAACATATGCCCAAATTTATATATACAACGTCGAAACCGCTGTTCAAGAAAGAATGCCAAACAAAGCTAATGGCTCTTGCAGCACTGAACTCATGCACATTTTGACTCAACATTTGGTTGATATTAATCCATACGCGCAAGTTTTCAGCATGATGAGCTCCATCCTGCAAAATACTCCTACTGAACAGCAAAAAGAACTTAGAATGCATATAGCCAATGATCGAGCTCAAGACCAACGTCGATACAACGACGCAACTTCTACGACGTTGCTATAATATCCTAACTTATTATTCGTGCGAATTCGCACGGGTTCACCTAGTAATTTGTTATAACTAACAGCTGGTTGAATATAAAAATATTCTACAGAACTATGAGGTTAGTTATAATCAATGATAAAATCACAGAGTAAATAACTCAGTGATTTTGTCATTGATTTTAAGAAATAGGTAAGTAAGATTCTATAACCATTGCTGTGTACGAAGTCTTCTGCTCACGAGTCTTCAAAAGAAAGCTTTTGAAAATTATTTTACTACCCGATTTTTTAAAGAAAGGTTGGAAAAATAACAATGATTACATGTTTTAATTCAAATTGGCAGCTTTTCTTTACAATAAATGTTGAACTGCTTCAACTATGCTTAAATTAGGAATAAAAATAATGATATAACTATATAAAGTTTTAATGGACTACTCGATTCCCGTACGTAGGACGGGCCAACAGCTTGTTTGATATAAAAGTTTGAAGCCAAGAAAATAGATGAAGTTCAGGACTATCTCACCTGAGTTTACTAGTGTGTTGTGTTGAATCTATATAAATAAAATTAGAGTTTTGTCTGTACATTGCTCAGAATCATACATTTTTAGGTTATTTTTACGTTTTATACATTCAAGAAGCCGAAACAAGTCTCATCTAAATTTCTGTCTGTCTGTCTGTCTGTCTTTCTGTCTGTCTGTCTGTCTGTCTGACACACTCAAGATGGCATTTTACGCAATCTTCTCCAGGAAAACGAGAGTACCTATCAAGACCCAAGTCATTTTAATATATTCACTGGATTGGCGAGAGTGTCTTTAGCCATTAAAATATGGTCTCACTACTTTGTAATTAAAATTACGGCCGTTCAAAAATGCAGTTTTGTGCGATTTTTTTCAAGTTTTCTTCCAATTTGTATCACATAATCATCTATGAAACAACGAACAGCTGTTCGGATCAAGATTATTTTTTCTAGCTGTCACTGAAATGTTTACAAATGTTGTTTACAAACACCACAACCATTTCCGATCACGTTTTGAAGGCAAATCCCATCCAAGTGAGATTAAAAACGTTTTTATTACATAAAGGATTTAATTAATCGCAAGTGGAATAATATAGTGTAACCGTAAATTAAATAACTAGGCATTATCCAAATCAGGAACCAGAAATATGTGTATAAAATTGTTTTGGAGTTTTGATAACCAGAAAGAAGACATTGAATCAAGATTGAATCAGTGTTGTATACGGCTGGGAAACTGAAATTTACTAATGACCGTCGCCAATAGCTTATAAACAATGTTCCACTCATTGACGGCTCTTCAATGGCGGTTGTGTAAAGTGTAAAGCAAAAAATTACAACTGCAGTGGGTGATTGTAACAGAGGTTTACGGATGATGCTGAACTCGATTTTCCAATGTGTCACTTTCTGTTCCTACCATTGACTATATAAAGTCAATAGTTCCTACTCACCGTGTGATGCAATCGCTGGACCATACAGCCAATAGGCCCATAGCCCTTCTCTTGGGTACTTGTGGTCCGTATGCTTACCCAATTATTTATAACAACCCTTTCGACAACGATCCTTGATACCGGTACTTTTCCATAGAATACACGGCCTACCTAGGTACTTAAGAAATAAAATTATAAACGTCCAAAAACCCAACGTTGTGTGATTTTTGTCACATTTCCTTATAATGTTAATATATATACCAGCAACCATTGTTTAGAGAATACGTAATCTATTAAATAACAGAAAGTTATGTTGTTTAAGGTTTTTTTTTTCAAACTGACACCGATAAGTTTGCATTAAGAGTTGTGTACAAATAAAGCAATTAATGGGAAATAACTGTGATTGCCGATAACTTTTTACGAGAAAATCCAAAACCAAGAGATCAATAACCTTGATTAACGCATATAATTGGTCGGCTGTACTACAGTTCTTAACTGTAAACGTTGGTTTTTGGTACGGTACTGGTTCTTTACCTTTTAACCTTTAGTAGCAGCAAGAATCATTTTTACGTACCAACACATCACAGTAATTTACAAATTAGTTATCGTTGGTGTTGCACCTTATTTATTACAGGCGTAGGCCTATTCAATTTAATTGATGTCTTAACTGTATAATTTTTGCTTTTTCTGTCTGGATTCCAAAATGTTATGCTAAGAAAACTATAACGCATTTTAGTAAAACATTTATTCAGCAAACCATCATGAATTGTTCAAACACTTTGAACGTTGTTTATGTATCAATAGTTCGTGGCCTATTTTGGTAATTTTTATTACAAATTACCAATCTAAATCGTCTATAGTAGACCTACTGTACTTCATTTCATATAGCAAACCGATTCAGATAGCATTTCGACAGAATTTCGAGTCATCTCCGGTCCAAGCAAATATAAATTGTTATGATCAAATTTTATGGCATTAACAAAGATTTCAAGTACTAATTTTATATGTACCTTTTTATGCTTAAAGCGTAGCAGATTCCCTAATTAAGTTCGGTATTTTTGTGTGTATGTATGATGGTAACGCATTAATGTCCTTGTTTCTAAATGTTTCACGGAAAGGACAAGAGTGCCTTGATAATGAAAATGTCAACCCGAATAAAGTGTTAAATTAAGAGGTTGAGGTAATACCTTAAATACTTTTAACCATTATGTTATAGTCCTTTAAATTCTGAACAAAATTGTACAAATCCCATTTCCGTATATTTACTCTCACCGCTTACACATGATAAAGGTTGTTGACAAACTTATGGGAGAAAGTATGTGTCAGAATGCTGATACCGTTTATTTAGTCATTGGATATAACATATGGACCAACAAGATCCGGGTGACATTTAATTGCGAAGCATTAGTTTTGGCTTGAAACTGTCAGATACTGTATTTACGAAGGAATAGTTTTGTCAGCATATCTGAAAGTATGCAAACCAACTGCTGTGCTTTATATAAGAAGGTTTTAACTGACTATGATAAGATCCCCGTGCGTAGAACGGGCACACAGCTAGTATTAATTAAAAGTAATAGCAAACAGCTTCGAATTTTTAGATTACATGGGAAGTCTATTTTATAATACCTAACAAAACTCATTTGTTTGTTTAAAAGGTCTTTGCTTTATTAATATACTAGCAGAGTACCCGTCCTTCGTACAGGATTGTCATATAAGTATAAAATGCTTAGTACAGTTATACTCAAGCTTTGCGTTTGCAATGGGGGAGGACACAGTTTGATAAAATTTGCTTCTTTAAATTTACGGTATGGGTATACTATAGTATTATTACACATCTACCACAGCTGTAATGTGCTACCCCTTCACCCAAACAATAGAAATAAATAAATTATTAAAATTAACAAAATATCACAAACTATTCGTAAAATTAAAAACATAAACATAAACTGTAAACAGACAGTTCTCATTGCGTCAAAAAGTTGTTAAGAAATCAAAATAGGTTTGTGAAAAAATATAATGTTGGCTGAACGGATAGTTTTGGTAATTTTTAACAAAATATATTTTTGTTTATCTTTGGTCTAGGAATGACACCTTAAAAGGTTGGTGGAAAGTTTGGGTATACACTGTATTTGTGGGGTATTTGATCTGAACCCCTGGACTTAATTTATAACATAAAAGATATAATAGCACAAAACACATTGTCGTTTTAATTTTACAGTTAAATTTTAGATTATAGATTTTTGACTAAAGCTCTACCAATATAAGATTTTTTAAATTTTGTGTATGTACTTGAGTGGTAATACATTACGAAACACATTTACGAATCACATTTATTTATCAAAGATGTATATTATATTAACCTAGTAGATTAGTAATTGTTGGGTGTTTACTTTACAAATTCACATCAATTAGTAAATACATGTGTTTCTATAGAAACAATTTGCTTTGTTATTCAATCACTGACACATTGAAATGAGTACTGCAAAAATGTTTTGACTAGAAGTAGTTAGTGAAAATTAATGTGCCTTATTAGACTTTTCTAAAAGTGTGGAGGATAAATTGAGTCTTAAAAATTTTAGAAACCAGTACAGAAAAGAGATTACCAAGGCCAAAATTGCAGCTAACAGCAAGTTTATAGCTAGTTCCAAAAACCAGTGTAAAGCTGCTTGGGCAGTCACTAGAAAAGAAGGGAACCTTGAAATAAACACAAATGTTACAATTCCTATTACATCTAAGCAACTTAATGAATATTTTGTTAATGTTAGTCATTTTTCTACAGAGCAACACAATAGTCTTGATGTGAGTAACCTTGACTACTCAGATTATTTGAAGAATTGTGTTAGGAAAACAGATTCTAGTAATAGTAATTTTAATCTAAAACTAGTTGACGAACAAACAATATTGTCTGTGGTTAGTAAACTGAGCAATTCTCGTTCAGAAGATGTCTATGGAATGTCAAACTTTTTGTTGAGGAACATTGTTGATGTAATATTGCAGCCTTTGACTTTTATCGTAAATTCAATTCTTTCCACTGGATGTTTTCCTGATTGCTTGAAAGCTACCAAAGTAATACCTGTTTATAAGAAGGGCGATGTAAACCAACCAGAGAACTATAGGCCAGTAGCGATTGTTCCCATATTGAGCAAGATTATTGAGACATGCATTGTAACCCAACTTAATGAGTATTTTGTCAGCAATAGCCTCTTTTATCCTTCTCAATTTGGTTTTAGACCTAACCTTTCAACAACAGATGCAATTGAAAGGATTGTGGATTTTGTTTTAAATGGTTTTGAGAAAAAACAAGTAGTAAGTTCTGTTTTAGTGGATCTAAGCAAAGCTTTTGATACAGTCTCGCATGATATTCTGTGTAATAAGCTAAAGCATTATGGTATTGTTGATAAAGAGTTGAATCTGATCCAAAGTTATTTAAGCAATAGAAAGCAAATGGTTAGTTGTAATAATAATGATTCTGATTTCCTACAAGTTACAGTCGGAGTGCCGCAAGGCTCTGTCCTAGGCCCTTTTTTATTTTTAGTTTTTATTAATGACTACAGTTCAAATGTTTCTGTGATGTCTGTTTTGTATGCGGATGACACCACCCTGATACATTCTGATGTAGATTTTTTCACTGTTCAACACAGACTACAAATAGCTATGGAGGAATCAAAATCATGGTTTTTAGCAAACAAATTAAATGTTAATGAAAGTAAAACAGAACACATTGTATTTACTTTAAGCAGTCAGCTAAATCTAGTATTAGATGATAATTATTTATTAAAACCTGTAAAACTTCTTGGTATTTATTTAGACAGTAAGCTGTGTTGGGAGGAACATGTAAATAATCTATGTAAAAAATTGTCACGTGTCACTTGTTTGTTAAGAAAGTTAAGGTCTTGTGTGTGCTCAGAAGTAATTATTATGATATATTATGGTCTTTTTCACAGCCATCTCAACTATGGTGTCAGATTATGGGGAAATTCAGCTGCTGCCAAAACCGCCTTTGTTTGGCAAAAAAAGGCTATAAGAGCAATGTTTGGTTTAGATGCAGAGGCCTCATGCCGTAACCTTTTCCCTAATCTTGGTATACTTACTCTCCCTGGTTTGTTTATCTTTCACAATCTTTGTTTTGTCAAGAAGAATATTGAAAAGTTTAATACAAACTCATCTGTCCATTCCTATAACACTAGACAAAGAGACCACATAGCTAGGCCTAGTATTAGATTGCAAAAATATTTCAATAGTCATAGTTACCATCAGATTTTATTTTACAACAAATTGCCTTTAGATATAAAAATGTTACCTTTTAAGAAATTTTGCACCACTGTTTGTAGGTTGCTTAAAGATAAGGCATTTTATTCAACTGAGGAATTTTTAAATCATGTATTTTAATGTTGACTTTAATGTTTACTTTGACTTTCTATACAAAAATTATATGTTGACGAAGCCTATTGTAACTGTGTTATCTAATGGCAAATAAATTCTTGATTCTTGATTGATTCTTGATTGACTGTCTGGGCAGTGAAATTTGTCGATTTGCTCCTACCATGTTACTGATTGGGACAGATGTACATGATGTTACAGATCGAGGAACTAGTAAACTGAGACTGCCTACAAGGAAGAGACAGGACAAGGAGTTGTTACATCAAAACAAGAGGAGAACCTAAGAAACAGTTACGACATGAACATTGATCCAACAATTATGGGACAAAAAGAAATGGAGAAGAGAAGAAATGGAGTGAGCTGATTGAACAAGAACTACAGCAGAAACAAAACTACTTCCTAACTTCTAGAGATGCAGAAGAAGTATGAAACAAGAACACAATATTCTCAACGAGTATATTAATACTTTAGTGCTAGTAATTAATATATATTGTATTAAGTATTTTACTATGTATTAGTATAAGTCTGACCGAGTGAGGTAGCGTCATAACAATGACGTTGCCTCACATTCGGGAGGTCTGACTATCAGACCGGCCATTCTGAGGGAAGTTTTGTCCGTTTCCTTTCCTCACTTAGGTGAATGCCGGAATGGTTCCCTCAAGGGCCGTACCCCGCCAGGCAGATAATTCTGCTTGGTTGACCTAACCCCTAGTAGGAAATACATTCTCTTTAATTGTTGTTCAATAAATATCCCTCTTCTAAGCGACAAATGAACAGGTTGTTTTATTCCTTACTATTTAAATGTAACTAGACAATTTAGTTTTGAGATCATTATTTTATCTTGGTGTAATTTCTGAAATACTTAATGGCAAAACAATTTATCACGTTAAGATATCCTTGAGTAAGTGAATGGAAGAAATTACATACATATTGTGCTTATAGCAGAGAAATGCTTAACAACTTGTATTCTGTGTAGTAGAAGGCTGATTTTCTGAGTAATCAAATTATTCACCAACCAATATAAAGGTCGCCGGTTTGATCCTGAGAAAATACAGTAGCTTTTAATGAATTGAAACTGATGTCAGTTGTATTTGGTCATTGGACTTAACAAATAATCCTGGCTACAAAATTAACAATTTTGACATGTTGAGGCAACTTGACCAAGTTGCATTACAACATTAATGAGTACTTAGGTTTGCTACTATGGAGGAGGTAAAAAGTGTTTTTTCAACCAAATGTTAATAGTTTAGTGTAAAATAAATATTTTCCAAATTTGATCAACACATATCCATAAACAAGCAAACTACCACCGTTTACTAACTTAATTTTCATAAGAATAACAAAGCAATTTTAAAATTTACAATTTGTTGAATTTTCTCCGTAGCCAATAACCGCACAAAACACATCAATAGCCTATACTCAATTATTTGTTTTTTAGGATCTTCAAAATGGTTTGGAGAGAAGTTGGGAAATTTTTTGTTTCAATGGTCAAAAGTAAAAAACCTCAATTTTTACCCCATAAAACCCTGTTCTAATGTCATGCTGGTTTGTGAACTCATTTAAGTTTATCCCACCCTACACATTCAATGAAAATCAAACAAAAATTACTTGAGTTATCGCGATCATGGACACATCTCTAAGCTACACACGACACACACATAGACATATATAACAATTTGAACGAATAGTGTTTTTAGACTATGGGGTCATCAAAATTAAAAGTAACTTTGTCCCGGGCCTACGTCTTACTGTGCCACCTACGGTATACAGTAGACACTCGTGTAAACACAACCCTCAATGAAACGAAAACCTTGATTTTTTTAAATAATCAAACATCAAACACAACACTCAATGTTAAATTAACCTCTATCATACGACTATTTCTGTATAAACAATCTCAATAGACATCTTTTATTGAAATCACAAGGCAATTTAGTACCTCTATGATAAGTCGTTTTAAGAAGCCAACCTTGATAACTACATAGCTCTATAAAACAGATCCTACTGGAAGTCGTCAGAACGGATGTTTTGGAGGAAACTCGTCAATTCAGACTAGGGCAAGTGAAACACCTACTTCATGTGCACCTTCCCTACTTCCATTTTTCAGAACACTACAATCTTTGACAGATAATGTTGTTTGGCTACAGTCACGTGACTAAGCCCAAACAAACAAAAATCAATGACCTTTTGTCTAGTAATATATGTAGGGCCTACTACTACTACTACTACTACTACTACTACTAATACTGTTGTGTTTTGATTATACTTTCATTTGATTTAATAACCTATTACAATTTGTTACACAATATTAACAGTACTGCGCTATAATATGGCCTCATTATAACGATGCTAGGTGCTTTTAATGAACTTTATGAAAGGACTGATGGCCAAAATTACGTTGATAATCTGACCATCGACAAGGCGAGCACCTCAATAACAAGACCTACAAATCATACTAATCAAATTTACTAGAGACTGTTCTTATTGAGGTTCTACTATAGCTACTTCCCTATAGGAAAAATTTGTTAGAAGGCACCTTACCTCAACTTGACCGCCCCACACCGGAGTGTTAGCCACCTGGTCACAATACTCCTGGAACTGGGTTTCCGTAAGGATCTCCCCAGTGTCCGGATGGCTCAGGAACGGCAGGAAGTAGTCCATGTTCTTCCGCAGGAACTCACTCGTCATCATGCGCAGCTCGCTGACATTGGGAGCGCCAGCCCCTCTCACACTGCGCACCTGGTGCTCCACCGCACAGTAAAGGCTGTCAAAAACAAACAAAAAACTTGCTTAGGCCTATAGATTTATGATCATTTTGGTACACCAGACACTAAACAATTAATTATGTCTGTAGAATCTGACCTGCGAGCGCTGGTGTCTTAGGGTGCTTATAGTGGCAAATGAGTTCGACCGACGGTGGCATGGAAGCTCAGTTGGCTAAGGCGTTGCACTAACAAGTGTAGCGCTGAGGTCTTTCTACGTGCGCGGGTTTGAATCCTGTATGTATGCAATCCATATTGAGCTTACTATAGTGTGGCTTAGCTGGACAATGTCCAGCTTGGGTGGCTCACCCGGCCAAGGAAATCCTGTTATATCACCCGCATGAAAATCCTTTATTATTCCGGTTGATATCAAATAATGTACTAAAATTAGACTGATTTTTAAATTTGATTTTTCAAACCACATACAGTCCTTGAGAAGACTCAGCTGACATCAGTATCTGACCTTGAATGATTTAAAGCAATCGTTTCTGATTGTTCTCTTCACGTTCGTTATTTTCGTACAATCGCACTGTTTATAAATGTGATTTATTTGTTATAAATTATGGCAAATTTAATGGTATTGGTTGAATCATTATTCATAATTTACAAAAATTCATGGTCCAATGGAGAAATTCATGCATGAATTCAAGGTTTTTACAGCTGGTGGCAACCCTGTCTTAATTTGTACAAATAGAACCTATGGTCATAAAAACATCCTTGCCAAGGGATAGAAGAAAAGGACGTATTAGCTCTTACAGAGGGTTCCCATTTTTATGGATTAGATTTGACATAGTGTTTGATCAAATTAAAACTACTGGATCTATTGATCAATATTATTTTTATGCATGGAATCGTCTTTGTTCCTTAATTAGAGCGTACTCCTAGTTTATATTCCTTTGATTTAAAATATAGTCACATTATTTTGTGTGTTTAGAGTTTTTATACTCACTTATAACTAAAAATCAATGTTTACAACAATAATTTGCTTGGATTGTTGATGAAAAAACTGAATCTCAAATTACGAGGGAAAAATATAAAATTATTGAAAAGTAAGAGCTGTATTGCAATTTTATTCATTAACAGTAAGAAATAAATCTTATAACTCACTCATTATCAGTGACTAAAACAAGTTCCTAATCAAAAGTGACAAGAAATGTAATGAATCTTATTCAATTTGTTATCTATAATGTGGATTTTTATAGTAAATTAGTTCAATTGAAATCTAATGTAACGTAGGGTCCCATTCTTCTTTAGTATCTACTTAAGAAAATAAATAGTTTCTGGTAAAAAAAATCTGCCTTGAGAATTCATAAAATGTTAAATACATTCATAAATATACATAGTGTATACTGTATAACCTTTGGAAAAACTGACTTAGATATTCGTACCATTCCACTTATCTAAGAATTAAGGTAGGCAGGCCCGCCGAGGAGAGGGGTCCAGCAGGGGCATTGCCCGGGGGCCTGAGATTTCTCTCTGCGGGCCTGAAGGTAGGCCTACTGTAGACATGTTTTCAAATCATCAAAATTAGGGATGATACAGATTTAGTTGAATGTTTCTTTTAAATCATATTCCAAATAACCGAGTACATCATTAAATGCCAGAAACCTCACAGTATATCTGACATGACATTAAATAGAAAATTTAAGACATATAATGTACCTACATAGTTTGGAAATGTTTAACATTTTTTATTCTAAAGCCAATTTTTGGCCCTTGCTCTTTTACCAATCTCAGGAACATTACTGTAGATTAGAAAATCCTTAAGTAAATAGTTACCAATTTCCATCAGATGGTATCTCAAACACCATGAGGTCCCTCTGCTTTAGAATCTCTTTAATTTTTTGGATCTCTACAGCTCTTTCTCCTTGCAAGTTCTGAACTTCTTGTTCAGCGATACGTAGCTCTCGTTGCTGAAGTTGCACCGCTTTCTTTTCCCTCCTTTTTTGAGCTTTCGTGATACGATGCTGCGTTAATCCGGGGACCTCGTCGTCATCAGTGTTAACGGTCAAGTTGTTAAGTGAATCGGTCATAGTTGTTACCTGTGAAACAGAGAAATTTGAGGACCATATTGAAAATGAAATCTTTGATTTGACAAAATACTGATTTTTCTAAAATCAAGTTGCCACCCTGTTTGAAAGTAAATTTTTGAAAACTCCAATCAAATTACACATATTTACAGACCAGCAGAAAATTGTCCAAGACAGTAGACCCGATAAAATGGATTAGAATGCAAGTTGTAGGAACATATAGTACATTGGTGGTTTTTAATATATCTCTATTGTGGGATATAAAATTGTGGTTTCTTGTTTTAACCCAAACTGCCTTTAAAGCCTAAAACTAAGATGATGTTTTATACTTAATTGGCTCCATTTGTTTACTGAATCATAGAGCTTGAGATAGTGTACCTTAGTTAAACAGTTTCTGCTGCAACCAAATTAATAATTTAAAACAGTAAATTAATTTCAACTTAAAGGTGAGTGAGCGTAGCGAACGAGCTCCAACTTTAAGGTGAGTGAGCGTAGTGAACGAACTTCTACCAGGACGTGATTGAGCCATGCGAAAGAGATCATCTTGAAAATTAAGAAGTTAAACGGGGCAAAGCTCACGGGTTACAGCTAGTTAATCTATAAGTATAAAAGAGGATGTTTGTATATATATTTGGCAGTGATCACAGTGTCTGTCAGACACTGCTGGATCGATGGCCACGAAACTTGGTACATACATGTAGAATTTCATTTAATAGGTTTATACATCATTAATTCTGTGATAACTTTCAGGGCTTAACCCCCTGGGACCATCTTAAGATAACCATTTCAGGGATTTTGAAAGACTTGTGGAGCTCAGTCTCCACAACACCCACATTCAAATATCCCGCCTAATTAGCACTCGCAAGTACAGCACCGCTTGCGCATGCGCAGAGGTCAGGTGAGTAAAGTGAGCAAAGGAGGTCTCTGTCTAGTGTCTTCGTTCCTGCGATCAACATGCGGAGCTAACTACGTGGGATATGGGGGGAAGATCCCTGAGGTATTGTGTCATAGACTAGTATTTCCAAATTTAATTAATAACTAATTGCACATCATGTAGACCAAATTCCTAATTCATAAATTCCGCCATAATTTACTTGCTATTTCTTCAGATGTTAGTTCACGTTGTGTCCGGTTGACTTATATATTAAATATTCCATATGTTGAACGATTAGGATATTTATGTAATAAAAATGCTTTAATTAATCTAACAATAATCAAAGCTGGCTCTTTGGGCCTGTGAATTGTCTCCTCTGTTGAAATAATGTGTCCAGTTCTCATTTCCAACATTAACGATTTGGTTACGGTCATAAATCACATGACCAAATCACCAATGTGTGCACCACAGTATGCCACAGACTATTTAAAATGAATCAAAGAATATTATTAACAGTTGTTTCAAATAAACCAAGTTTCAATATAACCAAATTAGTTAAGTTCTCTATGATGTTCAACAGCATTAACAAGTTACAGCTCGTGACATCTATGCTGGCACTTGGCCGATCACTACTAGTACCTATTTCAAAAACATTATGTCCCGTCATTCGGGTTGCATCAACTGTCCTCGCGACCCATATGAAGGCGCTCAAGTACATAATATAAGAGGAGTCTACCCCGTGAGGTAGCGGAAATGTTTGCAGTCCGGTCTTTTCCCTGTCCTCCACCCTCCTCCCGCCAACACTGCCCGCGCTAGGCCAAGTGCCAGCTTAGATGTCACGAGCTGTACAAAGTTTACCAACAGATTGCAGCATTGTTATTTTCCCCTGTTGCAAAGCGAAAGCCCTTAATTTGACTTCAGTAGTCCCATGTATAATTAGCTTCCGTGATTAGGCTATATAAGAATGTATTTAATCCTTAATAACTGTTACTATACGGAATAATAACGTAAAAGGTCATGTTAGCCGATAATGAATTCACAACTACAGCCGGTTCACAACAAAACTCAAAAGTATGTCAGGCGAAGCCGATAGGCAACAGCTAGTTACATCAAAATTTTAAGTTTTCTTATTCAAAAGTGTGAAATAAACTCTACTACACTAAATAATTCACAAATTTTACTAGGAGATACTTGTGTGATTCATGTTTAGTACCATAGTAGGCTACCAGTAGTCACCATTTGACTTAGAAAATATACACAATGGCTGTTATTACTAAATTGCATTCTTCGATGCAATACTTGCCAATTATTAACTTACATTGGCATTGCTTGAAGATGTACTGACTTCAGCCAATTCCTCTTCGTGCCTTTTGTCCATTTCGCTCTCAAGTTTGGCGATTTCCTCCATAACCTCTTTCTTCTTCTTTTTATCTCCTTTTGTTGCCGTCTTTTTTAAGGCTTGGATTTTCCCTGTAAACCAAATTAAGTTTGTTTTATGGTTTCCCAACAGATCAAGAAAACTATAATTTATTATTGTATTTATTGTAACCTAATGATAAAAATATTTCCCCATCAAATTTCACGTATGTAGGTACATAGACAATGCAAAATACAACTTAGCCTATATTAAACAACTACACACTGTACAATAAAGCATAGGCCTACCTTTGTCCAGTATTTATGAAATAGTTTGTTGTATACAGTGATACATTAGGCCTACATTAACATCAGGTGTAATAATTTAAAATACTGAGTGTAACATTGTATTTACGTAATAAAAAACACATTTAATATCAACTGTTACACAAGTCTACAGGTAGTGATCACACGTTAAACAGTGAAATGAAATGAAATGAAATAATATTTTATTTCCCATAAATTATATACATATAATTACATTGTATTTTTTTTACTTAAATATAATACAGCAAACATTACTAACTAGATAACAAAAGAAAATTATATTCTGTAGAAATAAAACGAAAAATGTGCAAAAAAAAATACCTTCTATAACAAAGGAAAAAGTCTACATAGGCAGGGCCTGTGCGTAGACTCGAGTTGCGAAAAAGGTTAATTTAGATGGGAGGAAGAAAAATGTATAGGAAAACAAAAAAATAATTCGTACTTGTTGTTTTCTTTCTATGTAACCCAAATAGAAACTATAGTTGGTAGGAAAACAGAAGATACAGGCACCTGGCTCTAGAATGTATAACCATTCTAAGCATTCTCTTAAATCCCGCCAAAGACACAAGAAAAAGGAATCTTAACTTACATGGCAAAATATTCGCAAGTCCTTAAATTAAAATTTGAAATATATAGTAGGCCCAAGTTATTGAGTAAGCATACAGTAAGACTTTTTAGTGACAAATTTTAACCTAATGTTAAGATATATATGCCGTAACTAAGCTATATGTAGGCTACCTATGTTAAAAACTGTCTATTTTTACTAGAAACAGTTATAGATGGCCAACAACTGAAATCACAGGGTGTACGGTATATACTAACACCATTAGCATTTTATTAAAGTTTTTGTAACAGAATGGTCCAAATCCCAGTGTAAAACATCAATGTTGTTAGAGTTAAAAAATTAAACTTTTTTAAATTCTGAGTTTTTCATCTACTTTCCCCTCAGATAATTAACCTATCTACTAGCTCAACGTTCTAGATTGGCAATTTCTCTTTTACATTTGCAAGACGAAATATCTGTCTTAATTCATTGATTATGCTGGAGATTCAGTTAAATTTAATAGAGTTGATCTTTCGAAAAGCATTTCAAACTAGAACTTCAACATGTAGATAGTAATCTCACTCTCACTCTAGTCTCATCTAAGTTAGTCCGGTCGCAATATTTTTGGATTCAATATTTCACCAGCCTTTCCACGGAATAGTATAAAAATTCAATTTCAGTTACGGAAAACTATAGCCTAGTTTTATAGTTAGCCAAAAACATCGATGTAGTAAAAACATTGGTAGCCTACCATCGATGTAAAAAACATCAATGATTTGAAAGCATCGGCTATTGATGCTCATTCCTAGTTGTTACTATCTAACATCTAAAAAGTATATTGGTCCCGGCTCTACGTCTTACCATGCCCCCTATGGTAATACTTCCCCATAGAAAAACTTGCTAAAAAGGTTAAACAATAATTTTTTGGTCACTAGAAGCTGTTTTAATTTCAAACATATCAACAAATGGTGATTCAGACTAATTCAGAAAAAAATACTAGGCTAAAAAAGACAACCAAATCACAAAAATATCATTAAGTATATATATTTTTAAGTCCATTGCTATTATTTATCTCTCATTGTTATTGTTAAAATTGGATAATAAAACTACATTTTTGTAAAACTGTCACTATTGTAAAAGGAAATTAGGAAAATGTTTGTATGAATTTATTAACTTTGAAATTGGACATTGTTTCTGCTGTTATCATTTTGATAAAAATTATGTAGCCTATTGGTGTATCACCATTTGTAAATAAATAAATAAATTAAGTAGACTACTGAATAGGCAGTTGACAAAAAAAACATCAATTATCAATATGAATTAAGATAGGAACACCACCAAGGAGCGTATTTTAACCCAAATATGAGTGAAGGATGAGTGTAGAATGGTGTGAAATAATCACCTTTCCCAAAAACTCAATTTGGAACTGTCAAGGGTAAAGTCCATATGCGGTTTTCAAGAGGTGATGCCCTGGTTCTTAAACAAATTAAACCTATATCCCAAAAAGTCAAGAACGACCTACATGATTTAAGAAATCAAAAAAGTATTTTAGGTAATTTGAAAAAAAAAACAAATAGGACAACTGTTGGCCCTCTAAACCTAAGGCATTCATGGATTAAAGGCAACGATACCAAATTTGATTGAGTTTTTTTTCATATATCATGAACACAAAACCCAAATTTTGTTCGAAAACCAGTTATTTTGTGACCACTGAAGTAGTAAACACAGGGGTACAGTTCCACAGAGAATCTAGGATATATTATCGGATTAAATTTTAATTCGGATATAAATGACTAAAATATTTAATTCTATGTTAAATATTAATTTTCTGTGATTGTAATGGGTTTATTAAAGAAGAGGGCAACCCGCTAACTACTCTTTTACAGTGTGCTGCGGTATATAGGTTAGATTAAGAGGGATACAGTTTTGTAGAGAACCTACGATTTACAATCAAATGTAATATTAGGTTGATGTATATATCATATGGAATAAGATTTAAGCATTAGATAACTTCCATAACTGATAACTACCTAAAATTAATGGACAGGAAGCAAGTAGGCCTAGTGTCTATAAGGGGAGCTCTCTTCAATGACCTTCAGAAAATCAATGAATGAATGATCGGTCTTACCCGTGCAACCTACGGTAATAGCTACACACTTCCCTAAGTATAGGGCCTAGGTAAATTCGCTAAAAGGACAAAATTCGTAAATTATCCTTTCTCCTTCATTATCATAAACTAAAATGATGAAGGTTTAACTAATCAAATTTATAGTTTCAATCGATATTAGCATAGCCCAGTCAAGAAACTGTATACAAACTAACCTAATATATACTTGTGCAACAGCTCATTGTAAAAATGTGGCGGAGGACCCTTTTCTTAAATAGGCCTAAACCATTGACTATATAAACACCAACTTAGTTGAAGAACACTAACTTAGTAGAAGAATAGGCCTAGTGTTTATATCTAGTAAATGCCTAAACCCTTGTCCCATTATAATAACAGAAAATCAATAATTTACATTGAGATAATAGCCCTAGTAGGCCCTATAGAATTGAAATTTGATTCGGTAAAATATGGTAGGTTCTCTGTGGATCTGTAGACCTAGGCCTACCCATTTTACAGTCAAAACTGTGGGGACATGCAATTATGACTTAGTATTCTGTAGGCTACATTTTTCATGTGGGTGTAGGCCTAAAAGATAATTTAACAGATTTTATTCTACACTTCATACTCAATAGCCTAAGGACATTGACTTAAGTCTGAATGAAAATAGTTTTAACTACGCTAGAAACTAGTCTAGGCCTATGTTAATTTAAGCCTCTCAATTTTTACCTTGTAAGTCTTTTCGTTCCTTGCGGTGTCTATGAAGAATTTCTTCACTTACATCTTGGGTTTCCATTACTGTAAGTTACTCACTTACGGTAATTTATTAAATTTATGTAAGTAGTTTTAAACTATATACCTATCTGATATAAACTACAGATATTGAATAACAGTTGATTTCCTACGCCGGTAGAGGTGTATTATTACAACGTATGCTAAAATTGCTAAAGGGAATAAACAGCAAAATTAGGGATCAACCAATCAAAACATTCACCACTGACTGACTGACTGATCAACGCAGACGACTGAACACTCAACACTGCACTCGCACTGAACAGGCAAAGCCGACAGACGAGACCGAAATCATAGATAAAACATACTCCCTTAGTAGATTTCCCATCCTTATGGAACAGCTGAAGCCAATTTTATTGTTAGTTCTGTACGGTTTTCTGTAGAGGTCGTGTTTTGTTTACAATTTGTTTCCCGTTATTACAGCCATTTAAAACCTCGTTTAACCAAATAATACGATCTAATCATAAACAATAACTTGTCCCCTAGTTATATAACCAAACAGTAAAGCACAAATCAAGAAATTAACCCTAAAATAATAGAAACAAAGTTTCGTCGACACTAGCGCCTTTGTGTCACGTACATGAACTAGACACGAAAAACGTGCTTCAAAATTTACAATGGGATGAGAAGTCTACTTGTGTTGGTTACCGAAATCTATCTGGCTAGGGGCTGGACTGGTATTATAGTAAAGTAGACGGAAATAAGACCAGTGAAAGCCATGAAATCGAAATATGGACTGTTGATTATAAAACAATTCTTCAAAGATAAGTTTTAAGCCATTGAATATACATCTCCCCTTAAACCATACAAAAACACTGTGATTTTAATTATATGGTTAAACTAAACTGAAAGCGCCATAGATCATGGACATCATTGGGAGATGTATATACTGTATACGCATGTCACCAATTCACAAACCATGTCACCAATTGGTGCTACAGGGGGTAAAAAGGGAATAGAAGCTATGGAAGCCGCATTTCCCACCATACATTGGGCATAATTGAAATATTTTAATTTTACACAAATATTTTCCCCATTGATATTTGATATGATCTGAGTTTTAACTTTTTTTTAACTATTTAAGATAAGGTCTTAACGTAGGAGCATTTTTATGAATACGAGTGTGGTGTTGTATGTAGTGTTGTAGATGTTTAAGTAAGACCAGCCTTTCGTTTGGTCAGGACCATTTGATTTAAAAGCCCAATGACAAGAAAAGCTGGACTAGGATCCACGAATACCTACTAGAAAATACCAAAAACTTGTGAACGGTATTCGGGATCTAACTGGCAGCCTGATTACTACTAGGTTGATTATTTATCTGCTAATGTAGTATCAGTAGTAGTGTGTAGTAGTAAATTACTTATTTATATTAATAAAAAGTCCAACGCAAAATATTAATAAAGAAACCGCAGACTTAATTATATTTATAAATCCCTAAAAAAAACGTTTTTTACAGTTATGGTGTCTGGTGTCATAAGATAAGATTTGATTTATTCAATATTATTCTCTCTTTAGGTAAATTCACATACACTAACCAGTATTACATTTTCGCAACAACCTTTAAGCAAAACATGCTTAGATCAAATGATTTAGTAGTAGTAAAATTTGTGAAACCGTACTGTAAGCAATAATCAGAGTATATTAATTACTATCCGATATATCATATTAGCGATATAGTTTTCCACCATGCTTTTTAGCAGCATAGACAATATGTTTGGCAGCCCTACTTTTGTGTTTCCGCTTAATCTGTGTATTGATTGATTATATTCTGTTTGTTTGTTGTTGTGGCGTTGTTATGGCTACACATGTTTTGTGAGTAAACTCTTGTGTAATTTAAAACAAATCAAATAAATTTTAAAAATATTGAATAATAGTTTTAGTTTATTTTATTTGTTTAAAGGTACAAACTAAATTGTTTAAACATAATGTTTACAAGGTTATAATTTTAAATTGCTGTTGCCATCATAACATTTGTCCAGGCCAATAAGCTTCTAATAAAATTGATAAAAATGTAATGATAACATTACCCAATAAGTAAGTTAAGTTGAAGTTATGCTACTGAAAAAAAAACTTAAAAATGTGAATCCATCAATAGTTCAATAGGAGCACAAAAATAATAAAATACCTTGCCTATTCAAACTTTACCATCATATCAGATTATGGACTTTATCGAAGATATTATTGGGGATAGCAACACAGCTGAATATCTATTAAAATTCAAGAAAAATGACGAAATATCTGAATTTGATAGGACCATTGGGCACATTGAGGATATTTTAATAGGTAAGTACACGTATCAACTTAATTAACTTAGGATGCTTTTTGCCTCACTTAATTGTAGCATACAAAAGCGCATAGGCCCCCCCATCCACTTTCAAACTATGCCTTTGAGTCAAAAAATGTCCTAGTTGAATACACAACAAATTTTTTTGGCAGGCACACACATTATTATATGAATAGGAGAAATAGCAAAGTAGGCCCCATCGATCTCTATAATTACAATAGTAATAGAGATCGATGGTAGGCCCCTACCTTATGTTTATTTTTACCAGTGCAATTAACTGAACGAATCCATCCATCTTGTCAACTTCCACCGTCCATAATTTTTTTCTATATATGTGTCTATTCATTAACCATATTTTTTGTAACATATTTAAAGAGAACGAGCCAAACATTTTTTAAGTTATCCCACCATCTGCCAAAGATAGAGACTATAGTCCTCGCCACCCTAACTTGCTGAATGCTTGCAGACCCCATACACGCGCGAGCCTGTTTGCTGCCAACACTGTGGCGAACATGCTCGCCCGTGTATGGGGTCTTTAAATGGTAGGTCAAAATCTGAGTTTTTAAATCCTCCAACGTAAGTAACTTAGGATGTTTAGCGTAAAGGACAAGGCTACAAAGTCTTCTGAAGCTCTTTAAGTTGATTTTTGATTTTTTTCGATGATTCATGAACCAATGAGTAAAACAGCTAATTATTAGAAACACCACTATCACACAAATTATGAGTTTCTTATCCTTTTTTTTGTTTCAGATGAAGAGTTTGAAACTTTGCAAAAAGAGTTTTTAGAAAAATACTGGATGGAGTTTGAAAATAAAGAAGAAAATAAACACACCTATATGATTATTTTTCAAGAATATGTAAGCATATTTTTACAATATTTATTATTAACTTGGGTAAAGTTGACATCCGAGTAACATTTTTACACTTTAAAACTATATTTATTCACTACCAGTGGGTGTCATGGGGTTGAGCACATTTCAATGAAGTTCACACTCTGCTAGTTCCAAAATCCTGTATTTTAACAGGTGACATGTATTTTATTGGAGATGCTGGTGCTGGTGAGGGTTCCTGCAGTGGAAAATACTACATTTCTGTTCACCTCATACCTGGAGGGGAGCAAGCTGGACTAGTGGTAGGGCTTGGGACTTTGGTCCTCGAGAACCCCCCAGGTTCCAATTCTCCCAATCACCAATGGATTTGATCCAAGGGATAGTGCGATGACTCCCTCTAGAACTTGCCTGAGAAATATGGAAAAACAATTCGGGGCTAGATCCTAGGAAAAAACTGTCCACCACATACTAAAAATCATTAAATTACAACAGTATTAATCGTGTAGGTATAATTAAGTAAAATACCCCCTCCGCAGCAAACCTGCCGACTAAGCGAATTTCCATTTGTCTGAATTGATTTTCAGTTAAATATATTTTAATAACATTAGGTTTAACGAGTACCTAGGTTTGCTGCTACAAGGAAACTAATAAAGTGTGTTTTTGAGTAAAATATTGATAGCTTAGTACAAAATAAATAAATTTGCCAAGTTTGATCAAAATATATCCATAAACAAGCATACTACAACATTTGACAATATTCTCCATAAGAATAACATGGGAATTTTAAATTTACAATTTTTTTAATTTTCTCCGTTACTAACAATCGAACAAAAATACTTTTATATACTAAATTATTTGTTTTTTTAAGCTCTTTAAAAAGGTCTAAAGAGAAATGGGGAAATTTTGTGTTTTGAGGGTCAAAAGTGAGAAAAACCAATTTTTACCCCATAAAACCCCCCGTAAAGCCCCGTTCCCATGGTCCGATCGTGCTGGTTTGCGAACTCATTCAAGTTTATCCCGCTTTACACCTTTAAACCAAATTTCATCAAAATCGGACAAAAATTACTCAAGTTATCGCGTTCACGGACGTATATATATATATATAAGTCTATATATATATATATATATAAAAATTTGAACGAATGGTGTTTTTGGCCTCTGGGGACATCAAAATGAAAAAGTAAATCGGTCCCGGGTCTAGGTCTTACCGTGCCACCTACGGTAATACAGTAGCTACTTCCCTATAGGGAAATTCGCTAATAGGTACACATTCAAATATTCTTACTATGAATTCACTTGGGACTAAGTTAGTAATTTCTATTCCGTAACTCAACAGTTGGTTTATCGGGATGATTTGAATAGGTAGTACAGTAAGTTGAAACCTCTCTGATCAATAACGAATGAGATTATGTAGCATGTTTAGAGGCTTGAACGTCAACAAACAATCTAACCCACAAAAGGTAAAGTAATTTTGCAAAGCTACATTCAAAAAGATTGATTCATTTTTATATCAATGACAATAAAGATTCTTGGTTCTTGAACAGTTGGATGTAGCAAGACTGAAAACTTGTTCGCACACAGTAAGTTACCATTTAGCACACAAGCATATAATATTTTTGATAGGGATTAATTGTATAAATAATATATTAGTTTGAACCTAAGACTAATTGTGTGTTTACTTACAGACAACATCAATTGAGGCCTATCTGGAAGAAAGACTAAAACTTGAAATGCCAGACTTTTGTATGAAGACTTTCAGTCAAAGCCTGATGTAGGTAATTTAGGATGATATTGATAATTTGCAATGGTATTGACAAACTAATGTTTTACCTTCCTCTGTTGTTGTAGGGCTCATAATGGTGGATATTCCACTCACATTTAAAAATAAACACTCAACAAGCATGACTTTAAGTCTTAAGTTACCTTTTATTTCGTAAAATGTCTTTGGTTCTTGAAGTTTTAAGACAATGATTGGGAACCAGCTAGAATAGTTGTTATTGAGAGAGGTAAAGAGCACAGAGCTGGTGTTAGAGTTTGTTGCAAATGGATCTTGTTGGTGATGTTAATTTACTGACAAACCTCCAAATTTCGGTAGCTAAAATGTTAGTAATAAAGTCTTAAAGATTTTGTTTGAATAGAAATGTATGATGATGGGAGATGAATTTGTATTACATTCAGTTGAATAGACTTTTCATTAATTATTTGGCTTTTGGGTGTAATAACCACATAGAGGTAATATTTTAAGAAAAATCAATGATTTTACAGAGAAAGGAAAAATGAGCTAGAAGGAGAAGTATTTGAGATGCTGCTTACATTTTCAGACTTTCTGTCCTTCAAAGAAATGGTACTGGATTACAGGGCGGTGAGTATTGATATTTTAAACATTGTAATCAAACACAAAAAGGAAGTTTTATGTAATTAATTATTATCTATTAACATTGCTTGCCCTGTAAGTATTCTATTACAGAAAAAACTAAATGAGAAGAGCTAAATGTTTTTTTTTACAACAGCCAGTTAAATCCTCCAGCTAAATCTTGAAGCTCAGTTAAATCCTCCGTTGATTTGTCATTGTTTATTATAAACATTAATCAGTTTAAATTGAAAGATATGAAAGGGAGAACAAATTGTTTACTAATATTATGCCAAGATTGCCAAGTCAGTCTAATTAAATTTTAAAATCTTTCCGAAATATATAATAGTAAAACATTTGATTTTTGTAGGTTAAAGAAGGAGTTGCAGTTGACTTCAGCCAAGATTTACAGATAACATCTCTTTTGAATCCCTCTACATCAACGAAGGCTGTATAAATTTGAATTGATTTGATAACATGTTGCTTAGGTGTTTTTACCTTTTTAATTTATTAAATAGATATGAGAACTTAACAAGTGCAAGAATATTTCACCCTAATTCAAGTTTATAGAACTTTTTTATGTACTTATGGAGGTATAAAGTTATAATTTATTTTTTAGTAGTACCTTTGACTATTGTGGTACCTATACCTAATCTAATCAATATCAACCTGATTAAAAGGAAACATTACAAAGTAGGTATCTAAGCAAGAACTGATCAACAATGGATAAGGTTAAATTTTTATGTTAGCCTCCGGATTACGTTGAATATATAAATTGGTGTAAATACCTGCTTCTATGTAATCCAAGATTTTGTAAAGTCAAGCAACTAGTTTTGACTGCATGACACCCTCTGGACGCCTGAAGGTGACTTCTTCATGAAGTCTTAACTAGTTGCGTGACTTTGCACCATCTTGGATTACATAGAAGCAGGTAGTAACACCAATTTATGGATAAAGTTACATAACCAGGCTATTGAAGTATTGTCTTGTCCCTCTTGTTCTGATCTGTTTGGTTACTACAACTTTAATGTTCTCGTAAACAATTGATTCACATCCTGTTTATCTAATGCTGTTACAGTCTGTAAAGATTTTTTTGCTGACTTAGCTCAATACTTTGGATGCGGTGCTCCCTGGTGTGCATTAACGTTCGCACTAGTGAGTACTACGACGATCTGCAGTACCATCCTGCATAAAAAACGTCCATACTCGAGTTTGGTCCGAGATACTTAAACAAGAGAGCATGAATTTATTAAAAGAAAAAAACACGTCTGCCTTAAAAAATAAGGTTGCCAATGACACAGAAAAACATATACACTTGAAATATTGAAGAATTATAACATTGCTACTATTATCAATTCTTGTGTCAAAGCTAATGTAGTAACAAATTAATAATGCAAATTTAAGGCAAAAAATACAGCTACAATTTCAATGTAAAAATTGTATTTTAGAACTAAATAGTAAATTAAGATTATATAACACATTAATTCATGAGAATCTCCATCTGGACAAGTCTTGCGTTTGTATCTCCGGGCATTCTGTAGGGAATCTTCCCAGCATACATTGTCAATGCATGAGCTCGCTGACGCAGGAATGATAGTTGCTAAAACAATGATTTATCTAACATTACCTAACCAAACATTATCTAAAATTACCTAAGCCAAGATTTTAACTGTGATAAATGTATATACATGTATATTTGTGTGCTTATGTTATGTCAAGAAAAGTTTAGATAGCCTCACTTTGTCAAAACCAAATCCACAACCATTTCACAAGATCTAGTCATCATGTTTATAGGCAACATAGTAGGTTGAGTAAAACCCTCAAGTCTTTCAACGTTTTTAGTATTAAGTTGTTTAACAAACTGCCTCTTAGTGCCGAAGAAGTTAGTTTAGTAAATTTGGAAAGTTTTGTCATATTGATTAGTGGATAACCCTATGTAAGGTTTCAACCCTAAGTCAACGAGTTCTTGAAAAAGACTTTCAACAATTCAATGTTACCATTCTGTGTTCAGATCTAGGCCTGTTTATCTGTTAAAGTTTAAGTAGGCTAAGATATTTTAAATGTGACTTTGCCCATTGCATGTATATGTTTAATGGCAATAAACGATTCTGATTCTAACAAAAAATAAAAACTAAAACAGTAAAAACAAAAAGTCTACAATATAAAATACAATAGGCCTTTATACAATGTGAAAACAACACTAAAAAGAATTATGCACATGATTAGAGGATTCAATATAATTTTAAAATACCAAACATTTTAGACTTCCTTAATTATTCTCAGTATGGATTTTTCAGAGCCTGGGTTATTAACATCAGAGTCTAATGTATTTGTTTTTAAAGATAAACAACTTAAGAAAGTGCAAAAATCTTACCCTTTCCTTTGCTTCTTGAAGATCTCCAGTCATGGGCTGAGATTCTCCTCTGTAACAAAAAAAGTTGAAATAAAAAACATTTTATTTTTTTAAATATATTTTTGTACTTGTTTACTAATATTATGAATTTGTAGTACTGTCCAACGCCCCATAGGTACATTTTAACTAGCTAGTCAATTTATTTCATATCAATAATAATAACTCTACTGTAGACTATCCAGCTCAAGTCAAGTTAGTTAAAGATGGAAAATATCATTTTGCAAAAACACTCAGGAACGTTCCTTAGCTTTCGGTAATAGGTGAAAAGATACTATTATTTTTGTCACATATTACTTTCTCGTCCAGTAGGCCTTTTGTTCCGTTCAACATTTTCAACATTTTGTTCAGTACACTGTCAATGAGAAGACAATATCAGCGATATTTTATTTGCTCGTTCTAACAGTTTGAACTATGTTACAAAAATAATATGATTCTCAGTTAACTTTTACCAGGTTACTATATTATCATGGTGCTCGCTGTTAATACAGTAGCAACGATCAGGGGTTTAAACACTTCACACAAAGCTACAAGAAATTCTTTCATAAACATTTTTTTGGCAAATATACACACTCTTTAAAAAGTCGCTGTACATGACAGAAAACTGTAATTGACAGCAGCACCCCATGTCACTAGATTCAACAACTATGTCCATTTTTATTATAAAAGTGACCTCATGTAAGAATAAGAATGGATTAGTCGGTCATACTAGGTGCTTACTTTAGCTTGGTGTACTGAGCGTACAGTATGTTCATGGTGGCCAACAACACATCAGGTATCACTCTAACAACCTCTTCTGCAAGACCATGGAACAACTTTTCCATAGACTCTATCTCATCTACCACTAAAGGGATCAACCGCGACCTCTGGATTGTCTGTAACATTGAAACTCATTGTGAATACCTTGAAATTTGACATTTCTTAAAGAATTACAAATCCAAAAAATTTAGGAAAAAAACCAAAAGTTCTAAATGCCATATGAGTTTTCACTTAGTCACACAATATTGTTGATTTCTTTATACATTTTAACTTAGGGGTCTGAAATGCAAAAATGTAATAACTATGTGTAGCCTAGTTGCAATGTTGTCTGAAACCAGCAAGATTTAATTATTTAGGGGATGTCAAAAAACTCAATGTTTTAATTTTTCCTTACATCTAACGCAAGCTGGTATTTCTTCTCTGCGTACTGGTCGAAGAAGATGAGTAGATCACGGAGGCAGAAGAACGTGGCAGTGGTTTTGGCGGAGGCCTTCAACTTGATGCCGCTGTACCTGGCAGAGAGCTGCTGAGCGAACTCTGACAGTCTTGAACGGAGCGACGACGGCTCGTTGTCCACACGAGCAACCAACTGAACCATCAGGGTTGACATGAGACGGAGCACCTCCTCGTGCATCTGGTGACAAACATATCTATCAACATAGAGTGGAAAAGATGTTGGAAAAGAAATAGAGCTAAACTACATATCTTATTTAATCTTTTAGTTTTTGAAATTACACCAGAGTTGTTCAAATCTGAACATCCAGCTGATCCAAATCAGCTGTGGGGGAAAAAAGGTTTCTATGTTTGAATTAACAACAATGCTTTATGTTCTGAAATACAAACCATGGTGTCCAGGCGATCTAGGAAACCACGATTTGTGTGCAATTTTTTTCATTGACACAGACCGGGAAGTCTGTGAAGTGTATTTGAATTTTATATGGAAGCAGGCAATTTGGAACAATTGTCAATAGTCTATGGTTCAGCGTTCATTCATAGATGGTATTCTATTGGTTCTCTTTAAAGGACATCAGGTAGTAGTTAGTAAGAAGAATACAATCACAGGAGATGATCATAGGTTTAGTGGCAATCGTGATAAATAAATAATAATGGATAATGGATTCAGTGAACGCAAAAAACTTAAGCGTTTTTTCACATGACGTTTACAGTCATGAAAAATACATTGTCTTATTTAATGAAATGTTACTGCATTTTGCTACAGGCATAGACTAACCAACACAAGTAGACTTCTCATCCCATTGTAAATTTTGAAGCACGTTTTTCGTGTCTAGTTCATGTACGTGACACAAAGGCGCTAGTGTCGATGAAACTTTGTTTCCATTATTTTAGGGTTAATTTCTTGATTTGTGCTTTACTGTTTGGTTATATAACTAGGGGACAAGTTATTGTTTATGATTAGATCGTATTATTTGGTTAAACGAGGTTTTAAATGGCTGTAATAACTGGAAACAAATTGTAAACAAAACACGACCTCTACATAAACCGTACAGAACTAACAATAAAATTGTCTTCAGCTGTTCCATAAGGATGAGAAATCTACTAAGGGAGTATGTTCTATCTATGCTACAGGCCTATCTTAAAGATTTGATGATCTGAACAAGGTCTGGCCTAAGTTAGTTTGGAACAGCACGAAAAAAAATCAAATAAAAAGGCGGGACTTTGGTGTATTTTAGTTTCTGATACCAACAGGTTGTCAGGAGGGCTTATAAAAAACACTAACTTTGACAAAAAAACAAGAAGATAACGTGATCGGGCGGAAGTCGTGTCCACTCAACAGTCAAGTCTAGTATTTTATCATCACTTTCATTATCTCTAGCACAAATTGTGCTACACCAATTTATAGTACTGTAATAGTATACTACGTTACTAGTCCTGAAAAAAGGTGTTTACCGGCCGAGTGTGGTAGTTCCCGTGCAAGACAAAGTCGAGTGCTGGATTACCGGCAAACACATTTTGGATGAGTGACGTACTATATTTTACGCCTTACTTTACTACTATAAGATAACTTAACAATAAAAAAACCTGTGCAGATCCTTATATATTCCCACCGACTAAAGGACTAACAATCACTACTTATAACCTCTAAAACAGGTGATATTTTTGTTTGTAACCACTCATTGCCAAATATAATCAGCTGGTTTGTGGTAAAAACTCATTAGAGAAGAGTAGTACGTAATGAAACTCCATTTGATTAAAGCTGGTGGCAAACAGCTGTTTTCTAGACTAAATCCTTGCGTGGGAAGTTGGTTAAAACAGTGTAGTGTGGCGTAAAAGATATCGTATCCTTGAGACTTACCCCAATCAGGTCGTAGAGTTTGATCGCTATCTCGTACTCTCCCCTCTGCTCAGCCTGACTAGCCACCATCTCAGTGACTGCCTCTCTGTCAGCCTAGACAATACATTGTAAAAAGAAATAAATATTATACTTCCAACTTTAGATACTAATAATTTTTATCTTTTCAATTAAATAAGTTAAAATATTTCTCTATTGAATCTTCATGATATTAGCATCCCAATAGTTTATATCTTTAATAGTCCAAGCAAACTAAACAAACTTACATAGGGATCGTAAAAAAAATTGCAAGAAAACGTTTTATGGATTTATTTTGTAGAGTTGGGTTTGCAGAATGACATACTAAAAGTTGCCAAAATTGGTGCACGAGAAAACCACTAAAATAATAATTTAAAATGGCGGCTTTTTCCAACATTGGACAAATTAAAAAAACATATTTCACATGCATTTGTTATGCACATTTTTGGTCTGGAGATATTGACTTGGGACCACCGCCTGTATTTATTGGGTGGTTAGTATTTCATTTTGATAGGGAACATGTTTTTGGCCGCCATCTTGGATCCGCCATATTGGACATAGATAATTTTTTTTCAATGTAATGATAGTGTTGTGACACATCATTACCAACTACATTTTTACACTGATTTCAATGCCGAAATCCGTTTTTAAATATCTTTATTCATTTAGAAGATATATTCAAACGAAAACTCTCCACCATACATTTCTTATGGACGTTTCGTAGTTTGATAATTGTTTTAAAATTATTTTTCTTATATCTCCAGTTCTTATTGACGCTTGTAGTTCGTTCTAGGCTTAAAATATTCAGTTATGTAAGGGCTTTCATTTGAGCTCTTGATCATTAAAATCAGACGAGTTAAGGACCAGCTACGAACCTCAGAACAATATTAAATTTAACTTTTTAGAAATATATTTTTATTAAAAGATTTATAACTCGTGTTGTTAATACGTCACCAAGTTCTTTCTGGTCTCAAATTACTCAGTGAATGTTTAGCTTTGATTTTATTAATCACTAAATAAAATCTGACAATTTTAAAATGAGTCATGGTTCTTAATTTAACATTAAAATGTATTTATTTTGAAATTTGTCTTTAGTTAAGGACATATATCCCAAACCCTAATAACTCCCGGAAAGTAATCCATAGCTAAAATAAAAGTCAATATTTTGGCGAATTATTTAAGACTATAAAGAGTTTTGGGAGTTATTTAGAATTGGGGATATACGTCTTTAACTAAAGTAAAATTTCAATGTAAATACATTTTAATGTTAAATTATGGTCCATGGCTCATTTTAAAATTGTCAGATTTTGTTTAATGATCAATAAAATTAAAGCCAAACATTTACTGAGTAATTTGAGACCAGAAATGACTTTGTGACGTAAGAACAACCCAAGTTATAAATCTTTTAATAAAAATATATTTCTAAAAAGTTAAATTTAATATTGTTCTGAGGTTCGTAGCTGGTCTTTAACTCGTCTGATTTTATTGATCAAGAGTTCAAACAAAAGCCCTTACATTACTGAATATTTTAAGCCTAGAACGAACTACAAGCGTCAATAAAAACTGGAGATATAACTTTTAGTATGTCATTCTGCAAACCCAACTCTACAAAATAAAACCATAAAACGTTTTCTTGCAATTTTTTAAGGTCATATCTTATATTTCTCCGACTATAACTGAAGAATTTATTTAACAATGAAAAAAAAAAACAACCCAAAACAGAAACATTTTAATGTTCACTAAAATACACATTCACACATCCATTCCTCTCTACTACCTCTGGCTTAATGCATGTGCCTTTTAGTGGAGGTAACATTTTGCAAAAAAAAAAAAAACACAGTTTATAGCATTCTTAGCAGCAGCAAACTTATAAGGAAAAAACCTTAGTGAAAATCCGATCAGTCAAATGGATATTCTCTTGGTTTACACTGTTTGCAGATTTGCTACTACTGTATTACCTTGTTTCCTTTGAACTGGTCGATGAGGCCGGGTACTTTACATCCATCAGGTTCCAAAGCTCCAAGAACATAATCAAAGGCTCGTGTTTCCATCAGTAGACCACAGACACACACAGGGAACATGTCATCACCTTCCAGGCTTTTGAAGTTTCTGAGGAAGAACGGAAACATATGAAAGTAAAGTTTAGTAGAGTCTTGACAATCTGACCCTACTTGGACGATCAAGTGCTATGAAATTGAGTACAATTCCATAATTGTGTTGTATGACTGTACATGTAGGTGGAGTTGGGATATAATGTTTGTTTGTAAGTGGAATGAAGACACCAGGCACGTACTTGATTGTTTAGCATACCACACAGTTTGGCTACCTGCATACCACTCTGCTACCTCTCACGCCTTAGTCGCAGCGCCAATAGATATTTCAAGATTCAAGATTCTTTATTTCCCAATATTTTACAATAAATAAAATGTGACATATTTTATAATAGGAAAAAATATTCCTCACAAGACTACACGTCTGTGTGTGAGGAAGAGTCCATGGCACTCGCTGGTCACTCTTAAAAAATATATACACTTACATAAAACAACTTTTCTAGTTAACAATAATATAACTTATTCATTAAAATTAAAAATCAAATCAAATATCTTAGTCCTGGACAACATAGAACCATCAGAATATAAGTTCTAAACACTTGTTAAGTTAAAGCAAATTTAAAATTAAAAATACCCCTCAAAATCAAATAAAATAATTCTTACAATTTAAAAACAAAAATCAATCCGGTCTAAAAATTTTGACATAGGCATGGGTTGGCTGATTTGTTGCTTGGTAGAAGTGTATTTCTTTGCCTGATATTTCACATGTTATTTGACAGTTATAATTTAATTATTCATACAATTACATTAGTATTTTTACTTGGTTAGTTGTAGTGATGGCTTCAAAAACTTAGTGGTTTTAATGGAAGACAAGATTACAACCTGAAATGGATTTGACAACAGAGAAACTTCATTGATTTAATAGGTTGTAACTTATTTACTTACTTACTCTTACTCCTGTGGCCATTGGAAACCTAGGTGGTTTTTGGCCTCGCCAACCATGTGCCTCCAAGCTCTTCTATCCTCTGCCAGCTCCAAGTCTGCTTCCATTCCTCTCAAGTCCTTCGTCACCTCATCAACCCATCGCATTCTTGGTCTACCTAATGGTCTCCTTCCTTCTGGTATACCTCTGAGTACCATCTTTACCATCTCTCTCTCACTTCTACGGTTAATATGGCCCATCCATCTCAACCTCCTACTCTTAACTATTCCCACAATATCTGGTTCACCATATAATTCTTTTAACTCTCTATTTTTCCTTATCCTCCATGCATTTCCTTCTTTTACTGGTCCAAAAATTCTTCTCAAAATTTTGTTTTCAAAAGTAATAAGGCGCTTCTGGGATTTTTTGGTAAAAGACCAAGTTTCTGACCCGTATAGCAATACAGGTTGCACTATAGTTTTATACAATCTTATTTTAGTGGTGTAACTTATTTACAATGATTTTTATTTGTTCCCATGTTAACTTACGTAACTAATGCTAGTTTAGGTCAGATAATTAAGAGTATTGATGTGTAGAAACCCGAGTCTTGCAAATGAGAATTTGGATGTATGTGTCAATTTGCTCCACTTAATTAACCTTAAACATGTTGTGTATTCTCATATGTAAAACTTCAAGTGAAAGACTTTTTTAGAAACACAATAACATACAATGTTTTAATGTTACAAATAAAATCATCAATCAATACAAATTCTTCATTATAAATTACATCTCCTAAATTCGCATAAAAAATCTTTTTTTATCAATTGCATCACCTAATAAATTATTCTGATGCAACAAATCTAAACCTAAAATAGTCCTAATCAACATCCATACCTGAGGCAATAGTAGTAATGTAATGCTTCAAAAATGTTGTGCCCTTCAAACTTTTGCACATAGATCATCACCAAGCGCACCAAGTTGATGCGATGCATGGGTTTGGGATCTGCAGGATCAACGTACACTGAAACACCAGAGAGAATTGATACAATGGTGCTTGTAGACTTTGTTCATCTAAAAGTTAACAACAATAGTTTGTACATCCTTCCAAATCCTTATACATTGCTATTCTCAACCTTCTGACCAAAAAAGATCTAAGGTACATAATTTAAACTGCTTTGTAGTTATTGAATTGGCATTTTAACTCTACATAGATAACCAGAATATTAGCTGATAGACTTCTAAACTAACACGGATAAGAAATTGAAGGAAACTTTTGTGAACACTGATAGGCCTACTACTTACAAAAAAATCCACAATAATTTCCATAAGAATGACAATAGAGGGTTTCATGTATTTTATTAGAATATCTAAGAAAATATTAGAAACTTTAGCTTATTCAAAATCTTTTTTACAGCTTAAGTGAATTTATAAACTGCAAATTTGATGTTAAATTTTAATCAAGTTTCTTTGTAAAAAGATCTATGAAATAAAATAATTTTTCTTATTCTTAGAAGACCTTAATGTTAATTTTCACAAATTTGAAACTCTTATTTCCTCCAACAGAAATCAGCACTCTCTGTTGCGATTCAATTCAACAATAATTATTTTCCTAAAGCTGGCTACAAGGGCATTGGATGTTAACTTCTATCAATATTTACACAGAGGTGCCTTGACGTTTGCGGGGGTGGCTAGCAGGCCCAGCTGATGTAGCAAGATGGCGATGTGTACGCCGTGAGTTGCCAGTCTGTTGGTCCTCATAAGAAAGTCCACAGCCGCCTCCCATTGGCCAGTGAGGAACAACAGCTGGAAGTAAACGTGTGGCTGCTCCTTGGCGCTGTAGTGCTGTTCTCCTAGACACACAGTGAAACATGTGTCAATCAGTTAGGTGATAATATGTTTCTTAATTATAGCGGATTTCTTAAACATATTAATAGTGATATCATACTTTTCTTCTATGTATTTGTAGCAAACTAAATAGACTGTGGCTTTTTTTCCCACACAGAATTAGTTTTTGGAGGGTAGAGCTTAGCACACAGTTTTTGGAGGGCTTAGGAATACATTAAGGAAGACATAACTTTTCCCTAGGGATCGTTTTTAATCAATATAAAATAATTAAAAAATTCAGGTCCCAATTAGAAAGACTAACATCAACTACATTACTTTTGTCAAGCCAAGAATCGTTAGTATCAAGCAAGAACACAGCAAAATTATGAGTTGTTACTGGAATCGTTATCATCAATCAAGAACACAGCAAAATCATAAACATCTCCCAATGAAAAAGTCAAGCCTCTAAACTTCTAATGTGTATGAATTTTTTGCTCACTTATCTCTCAGGCAAACTGTTTTTGTTGTTTTTTATTGCTTGTGTCTAAGTCAGTGACATTTTTTTATTGAAGTTTAAGTTAGTTCAAACAAATTTTTTTAAGGGAATAATTAATAAATTTGATGGGTCATTCGGACCAGAAATTTTCAGGGACCAACAGGCCTCAAGTAGCCATTCCTTCTCCCTCGATATATTCCTGAGCAAAGTGATTTTTCCTCTAAAAACGAATTGTAATTGAAGCATTACTCACCATACTCCTCTAACACGAGTGTCTGCAGTAGTGAGTAAGTGATACAGTCTGATGTGCTGGCGTCACTATCCCGCACCTGACACAGCTTAAGCCACAGGTAGTCGTCTGCTGTCTTGATAACCTCTGAGTGTTCATCAGTCACATCACACGCTCCCAGGATGCAGTAGACCACTCTACAAACACAGTAAGTGATACAGTCTTACCAAGCAACTCTCAGGAATACTTTATGTCAAATACCAGTAAATTATACAACATTTATGCTCCAGTGGCAAATTGTGTACCTTAGTCATAGGAAAGTATAATGAAACATAGAGTAAAACCTTGATCAAAACTGAAATATTGGGGGCAAATCATTTTCGGGTGAGCTATTTTGTTGGTTAATCGATGGTAGGAATTCTAAGGGTATGTTCATTCAAAGAGATATAAAGTAATTTTTATGTAATTTTAACTGCATTCATCTTAAAATGTACAACTGTATAGGTACACAAAATCTGTTCTTGTAATTTGTTTTCTGAACTTTATCAACATCCTGATACATTATGTTCTGTTGGCCAAGGCAGACCAACTACTCGCTCCATGGTGGGTGATTCCTGTTGTCTAGTACCTACTTTTAACAATTCAAATTGATTTGTATTTTTTATGATGTTTTTGGTTGAGCCGGGTTTTAGTTTAACTTTATTACTTCCTTGGTAAAAAATAGAATATTTACAATAGGATATAAAGAGTAGACACACATAAATTGCTGTAGGTTTTCCTGGAATCAACTGAAATCTCAAAGTCTTTTCTTTGAAATTTGGGAAAGCCGGAGTCAGAGACTTCCATTGAAATTTATCAGAAATAAAAGAAAACCACACATTTACTAACTACTTTCAAATATATTTACCTCTTATAAGGGTCAGTACTGTTGCGGACACCTCGCTTGTATTGAGAGTTGATAGCCTTCTCTAGGGGAGGGCTGAGTCTCCGTAGAGAGCTGCCCTTGAGTTCCTGTAGAGCCACAGACATCTCCTCTAATCCTGGCCTGTGACAATCACACAACACAACTTTGTAAAGACATAATGCAGGTTACACTTTAAAATTTACAATTTGATTACTGACCAAATTTAACACTTGTTGACTGACTGGGTTCCGCATTGAGAGCATTGAGATGGGCTTATTCCTATTCTTGATACCTAAATACCAGTGGTATCGAAGGATACTTTGTTTATATGTACTTGATATCGATTCCTAGAAACACAGAGCGCGTTCTGGGAACATGTACCGGTTCACCGGTGCCGCACCGGTGCAAAAAATGTGTCGTTCTGGGAGACCGGTGAGTTAACCTAGCAGACAGCTATTTCCTCTTTTTCCTCTCAAGATTTATGCACCGGAGAAATTGTACGGTGCATAATATACCGGCGGCCTCTGATTGGTCTGTTTCTTTGACAACAGCTTGCAGCTACGGCAAGATGGCGGGTTCACCGAATAATTTTCATTAGTTTTATAGGTTATGTTGCGTAATGAGTGAAAATTTGTTTAATGAGGGGGTTATATTACGTAATAAATAATAAATAATCATTTTCAAATAATTTATTCCGTGAGGGCAAGTCTGTTTGTTTGATTTAAATATTATAAAGCAAATAGTAGGTGAATGTGAAAATTTTAATCCGATGTGTACCGTAAACCGGTGACTAACCGTTCTGGGATACCAAGACTCTTGCCCCGGGGCGGCACAGGTGAGTAAGTCACCGGTTAATCTGCACCGGTGCACCAGTACATGTTCCCAGAACGCGCCCACATGTTAAATATCATAGGGTGTCTGCAAAGGTCAATACTGTCAATTGTGGTTTAATTACCACCAGCGGTTTGGTAAAGCCCAGAATAATTAGTAATTACCAATACACACTAGGCTCCTGTGCTCTATGTTGCAAATACGAATAAAGGTAGAATGGAGTAAGATGCCTTGTATACCTATTGTAAATTTATAAATACTATATTTTACTAATTCCAGCTGTTCCTTTAGCTACGGCCATTTAATAAAAGCCCAATGGCCAAGAACAGCTGGGATCACTGAACCATTTAAAGAGCTCCTGACTTCAGGATGAAACTGGCCTTTTAAGCACCAGGCAAGAACTATGATCACTTAGCTATATGATCAACACAAACTCATAACATACCCGGCCTGCTGTACACACTGCAATGCCCCAGCCAAGTCCCCGCAGCGCAAGTAGTAATACACACAGGCCCACAGAGGTCGGCCGTCCACACTGGCTGGATCCAGGCCTAGGTACCCCCCGGGGACTCGCAGACCTACGAAGCTACGGACCAGAGAGTACGTGCTCGGCTCACCTCCGCGTCTAGCTGTACTGAGGTTACTGGACACCACACTCTCCATGTACTGTCTGTACCTGTCAAGAGATATGAGGATTAGACTTGGTATAGTTTAAGCCAGTTTGGGTGCAAGGGAACTTTGGGATTGAACTCCGTAGTTCTCAAGCCGTATATGCCATCACTGCTACTTCCAGCATGATGATTCCAGTGTGGCCTAGTGTGGGCTGGCCAATTCAACTGCGGAAATAGGTTTTTAAGAATAAAGGTACAAATTGCATATCCAGTCAAGGTAAACAAGGTATTATTAACTTAGAAAATTGCAACAAGTAAATTGATTTTACCTCAGTCACAAAAAACCCATTTTTTATAGAACTGCGTGTAAGCTAAGTATTTTAAGTTTTATTTTAAAGTGACAAGCTTATTAAAATTTTTGACATTTCAAAATAGAGTTACAATTATCTTAAGGAAATTGTTAAGAAATGATGGAAAATTTTCACTTGTATCATGACTATAGTTTAGCCCCGAACCTTAAAGGAAAGCAATGTAGCTGATTCAGAATTTTTTAAAGCGATAGAGTTTAGATAGCTTACCCAATTTAGAATCCATGGGCTGACAGACACTTGATAAAAGTTCAAAATAGGCTACTACAAACTTTTTGTCTGGTAGGACTTTCTATAAAATAATTTAAACAATTTATAAAAAATAGAATTAAACCTACCTGTTCTCCAGGTACTTGCGAGCTTGTCCGATGAGCTTGGACTTCCCAGCCTCAGAGTTTCGAGCTTCCAACACATCACCCTGGCCCTGTGGTTGCAACTGAGTCATGTAGCTCACAATCGTCCACATCTCGTTCACTTTCTGTTCAACAAATAGTGTAAACTTAACAAAAATATATAATAGGAGCAGAAACTGGTAGTCTGTGTGACTTAAGACTATCTAACTATACGGACAATTGGAAGATCTTTCAAAAAGCTAACTTTGTAAACAAAACAGTCAGTGCTCACCATCTTGAAATTTGCAGATCATGCCTATACCTTACACATTAAGTTTAAGCAACACGACATATTTTTTTTTTATTTTAATTTTTCTTATTTACTAGGGTTTTGAATCTTATTGTTGTTTTTTCTTAAGCTGCACATACAGAGGCCAAAGATTACTAAGTGGTTTGCTTTATGGGTAAGTAGTTATGTTTACAGTAGTGATGCGTCCGTACTTCACATCAAATGTCGGTTCCGCCAGTTCTTGGCTAATGAACCGGAACTGAGAACCGATGGTGAAATGTGGAAAATTACCGATATTACCGCGATCGCGCAAGACGAAGATAACGTTTCCTTGACCGTGGGAGTCAATGATCGGGGGAGATGATATTGCCGCGATTGCGGACGACGTTACCGCGATCCCGGGAGACAATGATGACATCTACGGCCGGAAGAATACGATAACGTTTCTGTGACCGCGGGAGTCAATGATGATGTTTACATGGCCGCAGGAGATAAATTTGCCGTGATCGCGACCACGGACGACGACGATGATGTTACTGCGATCCCACGAGATAATGATGAGTAGATTAATCAGAGTAGACACAGAGCTCTAGGAAAAAACTTTTTTTCCTGGCTATCCCAGGTGCCAAATGTACCTTTTTACTGGGGCCTGGGGTTCTGCAGGTCCCCGGTATTTGGCCTGAGGAATCACCACTTTTTTGGGTTCAGGGAGACCAAAATATATATATCAATCCCAAATTCAAAAATTTTGACAAAAACAATACTTCCTCCATATATCCACTATGCATAGGGGGGAAAAGTAAAAATAGTTGCCGTTCCATAATAACTTATTGTACAGAATCGAGTAGGCTAAAAAAATAAAAAAAAGGACCAAGGGTTCTCTTATATGTTCAACAAGTGGTTTAGAGCCGTACTCACAGAGTCGTTGCTTGAGGCCGCCACCCGGCTAAACTTATCCACCAAGTTAGGTTTGGGCGAGCCCTCCAACAGGGCAGTGTTGTACTCTATGAGACACTGAGCGTACGCCATCTCCAGTTGATCCAGACAGCTCTTGGTACCATACACACTCTCATTCAACACCGTTTTCTGAAAGAGATTAATTACTTTTACGACTTTAAGAATTATTTATTATTACCCTATATTGAATTAAATTATGGATTTTGCGGGTCTAGAACAAGTTATAAAAATCAAGAATACATTATAAAGTTCTTTGGGGTTATTTTGAACTCAACTGAAACATCAGGGACTTTTCCAGAAGATTGGGAACACCCAGGAGTTGTACACAACCTATTTTGTGGAGTTTTACAATTCATAGAAAGTTATCTGTATGCTCTTGTGTATGTTTATAGAGGTAGCTCCCAGCCCCCTGGTCACATAGCTACACGCCATGGGTGTTTGTTGGGGATTTGAAATTAAACTTTCAACACTGAAGTCCCTGAAGCATTTAGACTAGTGTTGGCCAATCTGACTAAATTCAACTTCTAAGTATTATTGTAGGCCTACATCATTTTACTTACTTTCTGTAAATTGTATGACATTTACTATGCTGATAAATAACTTTTTTAATCTGTTCTAAATTTATAAAATGTACTTTTCAATCCTTGAAAATACCAAGGGGTAATGTTCCTAATATTTTTCTAAGATCCAGGATAATTTTAAACTTTCTTAAAAACTCTTCAAGAATCACCTCTGTCCGTCGTGGCAATTGCAGTAATGTTCCACTTCGCCCAATCAACGAATTCAACAACTTGGCCTTCTCTACCTTCCATTCCCACATTATCTTCTTTCTATGTTCTTTGGTTAAATTGTTGATGGTCTGAAACATGCAAGCATTGTGATATAATTACTAGACCAAACTCATTTAGTTGGCTTTACCCTGTCAGTGATCGCACAGTAAAGTTGATGTTGTTAATATAAATAGTATTATTATATTCTACCTACGGTACAAATTCTAACTTATTAAACACTTTCATCTAACTTAGATATTCTATAATTTTCCTTCAACATAAAGATAAATAACATAACATATTCACATATTTTCCACTTACTCTTTTGTGAGTAGTTTCAATGAGAGACAGAATAGCATTTTCTGCTTCATTTTTGAGGTAGCTGTGAATATCATTATCAGGAACGGGATCGAGGGGTTCAAAAGTCTTTCTGGAACTTAACGATTCTAGTTTTTGTGACAACTGGGGCAAATCAACACCTTTACTGCCGAGTAAGAGATTCCTGAAAATTCAAGAGAAATTAGTAAAAAGTATCCTGTGGTGACTCATTATGATCCTGACTAATGAAACAGCTGATCTTAGTCAGTAACAAAGCTACACAGGTCATCACACACCATTCTACACTCATCCTTCACTCATATTTGGGTTAAAATACGCACATAGGTGGCGTCCCCATCTCAATGATTGATTGATTGATATGTGCTTTATTTCATATGCCTAGTTGGTTGGTAGGTACTATCTAGGAGGAGGGTTAACATTAAGGAGAAGGCACACGAATAGAAATATACATGTTGCGGTGAAGCCAGCTTTAGCAGAATACTGCGGAGCTGTAGAGTTGCAAAAAGCCGCCGCTATAACATGGGAGGGATAAGGAAAAACGTGACGCGCGCTGTTTAGAAAAACTGCCACTCAACTAAAATATCTAGGTGTTATTCACCGATGGCATTCCTGAAGTAAATTTAATTTACTATGGAATGGTGTAAATCGTTTCTGTGAAAATTATTATTAATTAATTACCGTACTATTGAAGATCAAAGTTGGAAGAATTGCCTTGGACTTGGAACATATGATTACTTTATAATTACATTTTTGAAAAAAAAATAACGATGTATCTATAGAAATTAACGATTTATTCGTGTTTTTAAGTTTATCAAAATAAAAATATGTAAAAAAATGTATATTTACCCATATTTAATAGCAATCTATATTATTCACAAAATTTGTTGAATTTTTTTGTGCAGAAAATCAACCCCTAAATATTTATTTTCATAGGCATATTGGGTATCAAATTAAAGCTCTTATCCTCTTGATGTGCCTTTTGCTGGTTTGGATGATATCCCTTAAAACCCCTTTGTCCTATGGACTTTTAAAAGTTCAGCGTTTGTGCTGAATTCTGTTGCCATTCATCTGAAGTGTTTCAAGTTTATATTGGTTTACATTAAAACAGATGGTCACAATACAATTTTGTTTACATCCATACGAAAATTGGGTTATCTGTAGTTGGTGATGTTTCAGTATTCAAGTAAAATATTGTAATGCTATTTTTATAAATGTAAAGAAGAAAATTAATTACGTTTAATTTTGTGTTGTAATAGGATTTTGTGTTTTCATAGTACCTATGTTTTATTAGGGAATTTACGGTATGTAAAATATTGGGTACTTTCCTGTTAAAGGGAACATTCATTATTATCGATGATTTTTTTCTCGATATATCGATATTAACAAATTGAAACATATCAGCTGACAACTATGATAAATTTATTGTTCAGTATCAACAAACAATAATGAAATGAAACTGTTCTAAAAAAAATAACCTAACATAACTAATCAAACTTGCTGTGTAACATTCCATGTTTAACTTTCCTTTTCTGCTATCAAAAGGATTTTTTAAATAGTACATCAAGTTTGGTTGGTTATGTTAGGTAAGCTTAGAACAGTTTCATTTCTGAATCCATATAATAGACTATTTTAGCCTAAACAAGATCAGTTGTCAATATGTAAGGGATCGGTAAACAAAACTATCGATATATCGAAAAAATCATCAATAATAATGAATGTTCCCTTTAACAGGAAAGTACCAAATATTGGAATGTCATTTGTGTTTTCATAGTATGTTTCATTAGCATATTTGTAATTTTACTAGGATGCCTCAAAGAGATCGCCCACGCAATGAAAATAATAGTGATATAATGAGAAATAATCGTTTGCACCCTTATCATATGATGTGATAAGGGTGTGATAAGGTAATAAAATATATCACAGATTTTGAATTCACAAAGTGACGCAGACTGCTTGTATTTAAAAAAATAACTTCAATAACAATTTTTTTCAATTTTTGCAGTTTAAAAACAAGCTTGCTAAAATTAGGTTAAAATGAAATATTTTATCTGGTTGGTTAAATACATTTTAAATTAAAATTTTTTATCAGTTTATCAATTTTTAAATGCATTTCTTGTTGGTTTTACGTTATATGTGTGTGGGATTTTAAATAACCTAAAAATCAAAGCATTCACTATTACACCCACAGCCGTTCCTATTAAATTATGAACATAAAAAGTAAAACATTTTCTTGGCCATTAAATAATTGATTTTTTAATATCATATTGAACAATTGATCGGTAAGTTATGTTAAGACATTAAATGAACTTTGAGTAAAATGTGTAAACTTTCAGTTACCGCGTCTTCTGAGACCATAGTGCCTTTATCACCCCTCCTCCTCCTTAATGTTAATCCTCCAAGGTAGGTACTACCATAGATGAAACATACTCTCTTAGTAGATTTCTCATCCTTATAGAACAGTTTGAGCCAATTTTATTGTTTGTTCTGTCCGGTGCAATGCAGAGGTTTTGTTTTTGTTTACAATTTGTTTCTTGTTATTTCAGTAATTGAAAACCTCGTTTAGTAAAATAAAAACAATCTAAGTTAATTAACAATAACTCATCTCCTAGTTATATTTAGCAAAAAGTAAAGCACAAATCATTAAAATAACTCTTAAATTTAGTCGACACTAGCGATCACAGTCACCGAACATGATCTAGACATGAAAAACAAACTTAAAATTTCCAATGGGATTAGACGTTTGTAGGATGTTTGTTACGTTTGATACTTGTGATGGTTAGTCTATGGTAGGTACTACTTTTAATTACCTAATAAATTTGATGAGATAACAATTTGTTTTTAAGTTATGATACGATACAGTAGAACCTCGATAATCTGGCTTAAACGGGTGGCCAGGCCCTCGAGAGGTCATTTAACTAGTAAATTAGAGTTACCATTAGTGAATTTGAGACAGCTAAAGTTCCTGCAAAAGGTTAATAGCAGCAGCCACGCTTTAATATGCTGCTATTTGATGTCATGAGCTTAAAGAGCAATTACCGTAATGACAATTTTGTGTCAAACTTTAATAACATTAAATACTTGCAGATTAGAAGCGATGACCTTTTCTATGAGTCTAGGTGGCAAGTGTGAGTTCCGTGTTGCGTCCCCTGATTTACTGAGTAGTAGTGCAGTTTAGTGTGGCACCAGACTAATTATTTAATTTCCTACATTGTACAATACTTGGATATTATCATACTAAAGTATAGTACTATATAGAATTTATCTATATTTAAGGGCCTACTGAAAGTTACTTCAACATAAAATCACCTACCTATAGACCAACTATTTGTTTTAGGCTGTGATGTTGATAAATATGCATTTTAGGGTTTTAAACTGATGTTTGAAATTTTCCTTTTCCTACATTCAACGCTGATTCCGAAAATGGTGTTCTTTTTTCAAGGAAAACTAATAGGCCTATAAGTCCAAAAAACAACCAAAACACATTTTTTACCAAAACACGTCATGTGTTAGTACTCAAATTAACCGGAATAACAAGCAGATCAAGAATATGCAAGAATTCTACTGTAGGTATCCAAAGCAAAATAAAAGCAGATAAAACCCATTGGAAATTTTATTTCTGATGGTTATGAAAGACATTCCTTCTCAAAAAACAACTTTTGTTTCTGTATCAAAGGTTATAGGTACAGTTCGGCCAAAACTTCTGTGCGCGTGGACGGGTCGCTACTAACTAAAACATACGGGTGCCGGTTATTAGCAGTGCTGGGGGTAGGGTGAGTGAGTAGCAAGACACAAAATGTTTTCACAAAAGTACCCCCGCCAACCCCCTCGCCTAGACCTGACCGGATTTGGCCGCGCGCACAGAAACTTTGGCCAAACTGTACCATATGAGGCCTGACAAAACTGACAAATAAATATAATAAATATAAATATAATTACGCTTGTATATCCTGAGGTCCTGTGGTGGTGACACGTGCCCAGAGCTCGTGTGAGGCCTCTAACACCTGTCTCAAAGTCCTTTCAACTCTCGGCAACTCTCCGGAACCTTCAACTTCCGAAGCAAGTTGTTCAGCAGCATTGACTAAATCGTTGAAATCCGAGTCCCCCATCCTATGGGAAAATCTTTTCTTTGATCTAATTAGAAGAGCACAAACACAGGTAATTTCAAGAAAGTCCATTTTAGGAAACGCACTCAAAACAATCCATTTCTCGACTAAAAAATCGCCACATGTGCGCCTAGACATAAATCAAGGGCGATTTATTTTTGGCCAATTTTTTAATCGGCCGATCAAAAAATCTACCGTGTGCACCAGGCCTTAAAGTTTTTAACTTTAAGGCGTAATGACATTTTTTCATTCTGATTTAAGATCTGTCAGCTAAATGAGATTCGACTAGGCCTTCCTGTTGGTTTTTAGCTAGAATAATCATTATTAATTATAGCCTTTAGGATTGTTACTTTTAAAATTAAACTTGGACGAAAGTGTAAGCTTAGGTTGAAACAATTTACATGCCTACTGGACTAAGACAATGTACCGGTAACAGGTAGGTAGACCTACTTACTTTGGAAATGTGTTAGGCCTAAACCGGTGTAACAGTTCCAATTTGAAAAATCACACCAAACATAAAAACAACAAGCATTTAAAAGGATAAAGCTTTACATGGTAATTCTTACCTAAGTTTTAGGACTGTTTGTATAAGTTGTTACTACTTGTTTTGCTTCCCGACAGCACTTATTTTGATTTGATTTGAGGTTAACTGTAACAGTTTTGGTTAGGTGAAGCAAGTTTTACTGTTTTGTTTGTTGGGGAACCGCGTTTAGCGCTAGGCTGCTAGAGTACAGTACAAGGGAAAAATTCACAGAAGGTGCCTCATACACTACATTGATGCACTATATGAATCTGTTTTGTACTGGCAAATTATTAGAGATCTTTTACATGCAAACTCTTCAATTACAATAATTTAATAGAAATAAATAATTGACAAAAGGCTATTCTGTCGAAAGCTAGTGTGGAATAACCCTATTTTTAATACCTCATCAGTGATTGACGGTCTTATAAATAAAAACAACATTTAATTTTCTTATTAGCTATCACGTCTTTTTCCCCTCAACCACGGCCGCCTTTAATAACTCAAGAGTACAAACCTGACCCTACCTACCTTACTTGACCTTTCCATGCTTTTAAACTTATAGTTATAGTTTTAATTGTTGATTAAATATTTTGCTCTTAAGCGTTTTGTTATTTAATCTAAGCTATTTTAAGCAAATAATGCCATTTAAATATGATGCTAATTTCAAAACTTCACAAAATATATGAATTATGATTATGGTTATGATGTATGATATTTTACTTAGCCACAGATGTAACTGGATTTTCAATTAATTGCGAAAAACCAAATAATTTTGAATTCCATGCCTAGGACAGAAATAGTTACAATGATTTAATCTGTTTAATCTATGATTTAATCTTACAAGTGTTGTGTACCTCTAACCATCTCTAACTTACTTACTTGGTACCTTGACTACTACAACCCCCCCCCCCAAAGCAGGTTCCTACGTCATGTCACTGATCGGTGGGGGGGGGGTGCAGTTTTCCAGTCACGGACACTCAAGTTTCTTTGTCAAACTGTTCTAAACTAACCTAATCTAACTAGCCAATCTTGCTGTAACATTTCAAATTTTTGTTAGATATTCCCCACATGCCTTTTCTGCTATCAAACGGAATTACTTGAATTAAAATTACAATGATAATTATTACGAATGAAATTGACTTTAATACATAGCATCACATTTTACTTTTGGGGGGGGGGGGGTAGTATTCCAGTCACGCTCCCATATTGGTTAGTTGGCAGATTTCGTGACGTCACGTTTCACCTTGGGGGGGGGGGATAGTATTCCGCATCCCCATTTTATTCTCCTAGTGCATACTCATAATATACAAAAAGTCTAAAGTCACCTGTCAAAATCTTCCACATTTTATCTAATAAATATTTCTTTATTAGCACTTTAATTTCCTGCGTGCCTAAGCTTCAGTTCAAGAAAATTTCTGGAGCATCTTAAAAAACCTTGAACTTAAAGTACTGTAGTTTGAAGTGAAGACTCAGACCCCCAAAGAGAGAAAACACCGCCAACAACGTAGGCCATCTGAAACTTCGACTGGGACTGATCGACTCCCCACTGTTTCCACTGTTGCTGGTGTGGTGTATGAAGAGTTTTGTAGCTTCCACAGATTATGTTTCGGATTTAAACTGTCGTTCTAATTCTAAAAATACTTTTACCCATATAGCTCCTTATCGTTTTCCAATCTCTGGGTACGGTTCCTCCTTAAGTTAGGCCCCCACATCAAAATCACAGTTTTAATCCCATAGCACCATGTTTACTAAAATGGCATAGTTCAATTGTGGTTATGAGCGCAGCTCACAGCTGTTCATTCATTGTTGTATTATTTATGACGCATTACAGCGAAAGAAATTTGGGAACGAAAATTAGTATTTTTCTAAAAACAGTATTTTTCTAGTATTCGTAGGTGCTCTGCATTGTTTCACCTGTATAATTGACAATAATATTCTTCTTCTTACATATGAGAACCATAGCAATAATAACGTTGTGGATTTAAACTTAAAACTCTGTTGTAAAATGTAAAATTAAAAAACAATTGAAATGTTTCTACATTATTTGTTTTAATACAAAGCGGGCCGCTTTAAACTCCGTCTTCTGTGCAATCTTCAGCGTTACCTTTACTGAGAGTGAAAACTATGAGTCATAGCGTAATTATAAAATACTTAAGAGAAACCATAGTACATTTTCTATATTTTTATATTTGTCTTATACAGTAAGGTACGGCACTGTAATAAATAAAAGAAAGAATGAAAGAATCATGAAAAATTATAAATATTACAGTTTTCCAGCCTGAATACATCCTTAAAAATCGAATTACTGTATTGTATTTTTGTACTGAGTTTTATCAAATGATGCGTTAAATTGGATTACAATGTTTTATAGAACACTAATAGGCTTTCATAAGCGTTTACAAGGTATGCTTCATCATAAATAATAACCCCCATTCAACAGAGTCTAAACTTGCTCTTCTTTGCTTCGATTTCAAAAAACATACAATTTTAAGTCAGCCAAGTCGATTTGTAAGTGCCAAAAATAAAAATCCAGTCAACAATGTCGAGAATGCCAATGCCCAATAATTTTAGCGATGGTTCTACAGACTGTGGAACTTCCACCGCGCTTTGCGAAATTTTTCGTTGCGGAAATTATGCCACGTAAAATCCGAAGGGGATGTTCCTCTGACTGCAGAAATTCAGTTCTGTCCAAACTAGCGACGAGTATGAATAGGAAGAGGAAAGCCCTCGTGGCTGTGATACTTTATGATTTGATGATGATGTTGTCGATCTTCTCTTTATTGGTGTCAACTCATACACACACAGATAAACAGATTACCTGTTTTCTCAATTAATTGTAGTTTTTCCTCAATTGTACTCTAAATTACGTCTTTTTCCGTTGTTTTTGTACTCCGGGTTTTTCAAATTCCACAGCACATCATGTTGAGACACCAACTTGACAAGTTCCGCCTCTTCGGTCGATGAAAAACGATCATCTACACCTCTTTTTCCGCACAATACATAATGGAATTGCAATCACAATAATTGTTGGCTACTCTGCTCCTCTCCGCTCCATTAAACCAGTGTCGTTGTAATTCCGCAGAGGAAGATTTCGCACCGCACGGCGGAAATTCCGCTGTCTGTGGAGCCATAGCTTTACCTGAGGCACGGTAATTTGTGGATAGCGCACGATAATTTCGCCATCAGATCTGGTATCACTGCGCGGTGCGCCGGTGTTCCCACTTCCCAGTTACCAGTTGTTAGTCAGTTGGTGACGATATGTGGGTTCAACAGCTGATCGTAGCTTCACTCCTGGGTGTCTCCTTAGCCAATAGCGTGTGAGTAAACATCTTCTAAATTGACTCTATCGAACAACAATAACAAAAGATTTCACAATGTGTATAGTTTTCCTTGTTTAAGTCATATATAAAATTTGGTTTATCTTATATTGTGAATAAACGTTAAATGCTACATTTTTTGGGGGAAGGTTTGGTGGTATTAATCGGGGTACTTTTACGATTTTACTCATTAACATAAAATAGTATCAACAAATTATATTGAGACTTTTATTAAGTAGGATCCGGATATTCTGAAGATGATAAGATATAATCTTCAGTTATGTTTTGGACGACGGTTAATAGTTAAATCCATTCCTCGGGGACGAAACGAAAACAACAATTTGTTTTATTGATCCCAAACTATACAAACACTTCTGGATATCGGCGTCCACTCTTAAGATTATAACAAGATAAAGACACAGACTATAGAACCAATTAATGGTATATTGTCTGTGGTAAAGAGTAAACGTAGTAAAGAAGAGAGTTTATCCTTTAATCTGTGGTATTATAAACGAAAATCTTTTACCTGATATGTATCTATTCCTGTATCTAAGTTCCTTGTCTTTGGTTTGAGTTGGGTGACTGAATGCACTATTCTCGCACAGAACTTAACTTCATTACGAAGTTTCTGTAAACTTCACAAACATGGCAATAAAATGTCTATTGGTTTTAAATGTTTGCAAAAAACCCCGTATTACTTACCGCACCTCACAACAGGCAGGTTTTTCAAACCCAGCGCACATTTTAAGTTAAAATTGTGAAAAATACGGACAAAGGAAGGATGTTCCCGTTGTCACGACTGGACGCCGGCCGACTTTCAGACTTACTAGTAGTTGCCGAGTGCACGTTCCTATGTACGAAACGTTCCTTACCTTCTGAATAGCCCTCGTACTATATCTGTACAATCTGCACACGATTAAGATTAGAATCTTTCCTCTGGTCTCATTTTACATAATTACCTTGCAAACCACTGATTCACAAATAGCAATTTTGAAACAAAAGGAAATGCGCAGAAAATGTTGTCTCAATCTTCTGCAATTATTCATTAGCGCTGTGAATAAAATACGTTAAAGGAAATAATTTTCTCAAAGATAATTGAGGATGTGATTGTAGAATATGAAACTTGATTTTCAAGTTGCAACTACAATGTAATACGTACTGTAGCCTACAAACGGCACTACAGTATATACCTCCGTGCTACTACTCAATGCTAACTAGCCTACAAATTGAATCTATACAGAGGCCTAAACCTTACTGTTGATTGTAAAACTTGGACAACAATATCGGCCTTACTACAAAGTAGATCCAAACGAACTCAGTTGTCTGTCTGTGATGAAGGTTTAAGGCAACTGATAAACTGTTTTCGTAATATGATAATTTTTGTATAATACGTGTCATTATAGTCTCGTAGCTCGATACAAAAAACAGACGTCAGCCGGTAAACATTTCCATTATAAAATGTGTATCCTTTTAACTTATCGAGCACTGTGGCACTGGGCCAGAAAAATCTTCGATTCTTGCATATAATTAACACATAGACAGTTTTTACAAGCTAATAATATAAAGAAAACATTGAACTATTTCTTGTTAATACTGTAAAATGTTTTATGGACTTCATTTTTGTGCACGTTGTATTTTTTGTACCGTATAACGGATTCATAATTTATTATACAATGATAGGAGTGGCTAAGATTTTAGAAAACAATATATAAATAGGCCTACAATTACAGTTTTTGCGATGCACCTACTAATTTATTAGTAGTAATATTAGTGGTAATTCTTTATATTTCTTTGGTATGACTGAAAATAAAGAAACTTCACTAGAATGCAAAGGTGTCCGAGTTTTTTGTAATATAAATTGCGTTGTATTACAAGTACGAGTGTATAATATCATCTATTGCCGATGGAATTCCTCGATGTTTCTTGACTTGTTGACATGCACCGAGGCACTGAGTGACGTCACTGCTGTTAATTAGTAAGGCACCTCCGTACGAAATTGAATTTAACCGTTCACTACAAACAGTGCGATGTTACTTATATTATTATATAATCAATATTGTTATAGATTATTATTCAACGTTAAGAGCAGCTTAAATCGGCTGAGGGGTAGCAATCGAGTATAGCATCCAGCGCTCTGGTGCAATATAATTTAAATTTTAACTTAAAAAGTGTTTCGTTCTTTCTTGGGGGAAGATTTCTGACTCAACTTATATTTATTCTTATTAACCTAGAAATAGGTTACATTTGACTTGTAACGAAAGTGACTAGTTTCGGTAACAGCTGACATCAATGAAAGTAGTCGTTTCCCAAGCTCTGAGGGCGAGGGAAAATCGATCAGCTGATTTTCCCTCGCTCTAAATTTACTTTCCCTCGCTCTCAATTAGATCTCCATTTATACTCACTACGCGCGCTAGTGTTTTGTTAGGTTTAATTTAATGTTTTGAATAAACAGTATGTATTGTTAAAAGTTGTTTTATTCTTTTATTTTGATGTTTAAAAAAATTATTGAGAAGTATCAAAACTCCCACCCCATCTCCCTTCCATTTATCAGCAAACCTAAGTACTGTACTCGTGAAAATTTATGTTATTTAAATAGGAAATAAATCTGACAATTTTAATGGCATATTTTAATGGAAACACGGCTGGGTAAATGGAAATCCGCTTAGTCTGCAGATTTGCTGCGGCTGGTGTATTTTACTAATCGTAATGGATAATATCCACGTGAATTGGTCAAATAACATAAACTTATCTTTGTAGAAAATTAACTTTAATAACGAGTTACCAATAGTCATAATTAGCTGGTTTGGTATTTTAAGCTCTAGAAATAAGTGATTTCCTGTAACACTTTTGGAACCTGATTAAGATCAATTTTTAGAAACTTGTACCATTAAAAAAATAATACTATAACAATACTAATAAAAAAAAAAACACTATAGCACCTCGCAACCAATCGCGCTCTTTTAGGTTCCTGCAGAGTAGAGTTTGTGCAGCGTTCACTCCCCACTTAAGATCGTCTAGACAATATTTTCTTGTCGTAAAGCTGTAAAGTGTGGCAGCCATACTCATAACTGCACGCACGATAAAGTTTCTTCACCCAGCACAGACTCAGTTCCAATTCCGTGATTCCTCCATTTCCGGTTCCTCCCTTATCTAATTATCTTACCGTGATACATGGAACATACACACGCAGGTTCATGAAAAGCTTAAGTGAATTCTCCAGGTAATAATGTTCTTAATTTCTCTGGCTAGTCGTAATTTACCTATTAAAACAATACAGGTTAGTAGCTTAAACTAGGAACACGTTTTAATTGTTGTTACTATTTTCATTTTGTTGACGTTGTTGAAATATTTGTAGAACATCGTGAAAACAGTAGCCTAGTTTGGATGGCAACTGGATGAAGAGCTCTCTTATTTATTGTTTTAAAACAATTACTCACTTTTACAATAAAAAAATAATTATTAACACAAAATTACGAAATCAAATGCTTCCCATGTTAGATGCCTATTTACTGTTCACCACTTTATTCTTCACTGTTGTATTGTTGTACTATGTGATAAGTTTGTAACATCTAGCCTTCTTTCAGTATAGGCAGGCTAACAAATTATATTTACCTAACCTTATTGTTACACGAACATATTTTATTTGTATACTAGCTGTTGATCCGTTCTACGTACGGGGATCAAGTACTGTAGTAGGTTAAAACTGAATATAATTCAGAACAGCTAGTTTAAGAAAAAATACTTAACACTGAACTCAGTCATAGATTTGTCAAACTTCCTTGTGGATTTATCACGCTCGTCAGTTTGGGAAAATGTTTATTTAGCGCTGTTCAAAAATTAACCAATACAAGTTTATCAACATAATTGAGTTTATAGGATAACTAGCTGTACCCGCGGGATTTGCCCCGTTTAACTTCACAAGTGAGCTCGTTCGCATGGCTCAATCACGTCCTGGTTGAAGTTCGTTCGCTACGCTTACTCACCTTTAGGTTGGAGCTCATTCGCTCCGCTCACTTGCCTTCAGGTTAGCTCGTTCGCTACGCTAACTCACTTCCAGGTTGAAGTTTGTTCGCTACGCTCACTCACCTTTTGGTTGAAAATTGGCTGTAGTCATAAATAAAAAAAAAATAATAGTGCTGCACCCTGTTGGTAATCCTTGTAACTTTAATGCTATTGAACATCATAGAACAGAACCAACTTGTTTAATTGAAACAGCTGTTAAGAAATCTATATACCCCCGCCGCAGCAAACCTGCAGACTAAGCGAATTTCCATATACACAGCTGGAATTCCACTAAATTATTCCCTTAAAATTGACAGATTTATTTCCTTTTTAAACATCATTAATATTAATGAGTACTTAGGTTTGCTGCTACAGGGAAGAAAATAGAGGGGTTTTATTGAAATATTAATAGCTCAGTATGAAGTAAACAAAATTTCAAAATTTCATTAATATATGTCCATACACAAGCAAACTACAACACTGTATTTATTCTCCATAAGAATAACATGGTAATTTTAAATTTACATTATTTTGCGATTTTTCCGTAACCGTTAGGCATGCAACAATGCTTCAACATACTAAATTATTTGTTTTTTTGAGCTCTACAAAATGGTTTTGAAAGAAATTGCAAAATTTTATGTTTTCAGGGTGAAAAATTAGAAAACCCCATTTTACCCCATAAAACCCCCCATAAACCCCTGTTCCCATAGTCCGATCATGCTGGTTCGCGAACTCGTTCGAATAAATGTAGGTTTACACGTTTATACCAAATTTCATCAAAATCGGATCATTTTTGCTCGAGTTATCGCGCTAACGGACACATATATAAATATATATATATGAATTTGAACGGATGGTGTTTTTGGCCTCTGGGGACCTCAAAACGAAAAACTAAATCGGTCCCGGGTCCAGGTCTTGCCATGAGACCTACGGCAATAGCTTATTCCCTATATGGGAAATTCGCTAATATATAAAAGGCAAAGCCCTCACTGACTGAT